TCTCATGTAAGTGAAGTTTGTATGTAGGTATATAATGGCTGGGACTTATTTTATGCAGTATTGAATTATTGTGTTATTTAGTAAGGAGTGAGCCATGGTTGCAGGTGTGATAATTCATTTATGAAGACCACATTAACTGAACAAAACATGTAGCAAGAACAGGATCAAAACAAATCCCACTGCAGTTGTGCTTTTATTTGTGTACACATTATTGTAAACTTGCAAATGGTATCCACAGTGGTGTTAAATTTGGTATGGTAGTTTTGTTTATACAGCAGAAACTTGAGAATAAGAAAATGTGCTGCTTTTATTCTCCAGTATTTTAAATAGTTGCTTATAACAAGTTAAGACAGAAAACCTTTCAGAATAAGCCAAAAATATGCTCACCAGAGGCGTCAGTGAGCCATAATGTCCAATCTGAGTAATGTAAATGGCAGGACACAGGTGGCACCAGTGATGAATAATTCTTGTTCATAGGTTATTTATGTCTGGAGATTTACATGTAACTTAAGCTTTTGGAAATACCCAACGTAGAACGTTGAAGGTTTTCCAGTGTCTTGGGAAACATTTCAGTTACCATCTTCTGGATTTGGGCAGATCTGGCAGTGAGTGGTGAGTGAGAGGTAGATCCATGATTATACAGAGTGATTCTAAATTATTGTTGCATTTTCCATTCATAGGCCACAGAAACCCCAACAATAATGTCAGAAACTGTTCAATAGAATGTCATCCCACATCAGATGCACTGAGGACAGACAATTCCTAGCTCCGAATTTAGGCCTCCAAAAGATCCCATGTTCATGTGGCAAGGTGTACATTAGCCAAATGGGCCATCACATTTCTGCTAGGATTTCCAAACACATAAGCATCAGGCTGGAGAACCATCTGTCACTTGTAACTGAGCGGTCAACAGGGACAAGGCACAGTACTGACTGACAAGTTAAGGACCCTGGTTTACACCGAGTTCCATCATCAAGGAAGGAATTAAAACAACAAGACACTTCATTGGTTGAACTGTGAGGTTAAGTACAGACTTTGTAAAGCCATGTTTTACTTCTGTTGGAACCCACTGCTCAATCAGTTTCATCAAACAGCTGTGAAACTTCACCCATGTAGACCAACACAGTGGGCACGAAACACTTTTGTTTGCTTTCTTTCATATTCATGTGACTACTAAATCTTTTTTTGCTTTCTTTCCTAACTGCCTGGTAACCATAAAAATAAAAAAAAATTGTGACCTTTACTAACCACGTAACCACAGAACTTCCAGCTCATCTTTTCCAATGAAATAAGGGAAAAGGCATCTTTTGTCCCTTTATCTCAGTGCAGTATGGTTGCAGACATCCTTCCCCACCTCTTCTCGTTACCGATTGGTGACAAAAATATCATCTTTGCCTCTTCTCAGTATCACTTGTTCACTAAAGACTCTTCCATCTCCTAGTCTCTCACACAGATTCTAAAGAAAATTCTTCATTATAACTCTTCATGACCATGTGGTTTCTAAGAATCTTCCAATCACTTCTTGTCCTCAGTTATGTGGTCACCCTCAAGTGCCAGATCTATGATATAGGCTTCCATCTTCCCCCAAAGACACACCCTGAAGATGGAAACTGCAGTGCAATCAATAGTGTTAAGCTTTCAGCATTCTCTGACATATTCCCAAAAGCCAAAGATAAGTAGTTAGAGAAAACAAACGGTAATTGTATAAGGATTGAAGTGTAGGAAACTTGAGAGCCTAACCCAACACAAATTCTTGTGTGTAGAGAGTAATCTTCTAATGGTCAACTTTGTTGTCACATTGTCAAAATAGAGATGAAGGCTGCTACCAGCACTATTGACCATGATGTCACATTAAGACTTCTCTTCCAGAATTCAGCAGAACGATATTGCTGTTCACTGGATGTTTAGTTAGTTGGCTTGGCAGATAATAAATACGAGGTAATATCGGAAAGTTCCTGGACTGTTATTGTTGTAACTGCCTCGGTGAAAGAAGATGAGAGGGGAGGCCAAGATCACACTTCCACAAGCCTATTGCATCAGTCTGCCACATGACACCAAGCTCTGAACACGCATTGTTTTTACACAAGTGCCTTTTTACTTCGTGTTTTGTGTCTGTGATGGATGGAAAAATTGAACAATGTGTCTGCACCAGGTTTTGCATGAAGCTCAGTAAATCTGCTACCAAAGCCCTTGAAATGCTTCGTGAGGCTTTTTGGAACATTCTTTAAGCCGGACAGCAGTTTTTGAATGGCATTCATATTTCAAGGCTAGTCAAGTGTCAGTTGAAGATGACAGACGTTCACGGCGACCAGGCACCAGCAAAACGACAGAAAACGTTGAAAAGATTCGAGAACTGATCCACAAAGACCATCACCAAACAATCCATGAGCTCACAGACACTGTTGGGATCAGTTATGGAATTCATCAGGAGATCTTAACAGAAAATTTCAACATGTGTCACATTGCTCCATCATGATGGCAATGCACCCACCCACACGTCCATGAAAAGCACAGAGTTTGTGACTAACAAACACATGGTTATCATTCCCAATCCTCCCTACTTGCCGGACTTAGCCCCGTGATTTCACTTTGTTTCCCAAATTGAAAATGAAACAGAAGGGACAACATTTGAAACAGCATCTGAGATCCAAAGGAAATTGTAAGCGGTACTCGACAGCATTAAGGAAAATGACCCACGGTGCTTTTTAAGCGTGGAAAAAGTGATGGGATCGCTGTATACATTCCCAAGGAAACTATTTTGAAGGAGATGGCAGCCAAAATTGAGTAAGTTAATCCAGCATTTCTTCTTTGACCTAGTCCAGGAACTTTCTGATAGTACCTCTTAGTAGTGGATGGCAATATCAATTGAACCTATAGCTTACTTGTAGTTCTCTCCATATTCTAGACATAAACCAAACTTTCTTACATTCTGATCAGTTCATGGAGTTAGATTGAATTGCAGAAATTTACTTTTACGAGCAACACATCTTGTTTGCTGTAGTCGTCTGGATTATGACACTGTATAGTCTCTTAGGTTGTTGCCAACATTTCAGAAGAACTTTCTACCTTCATCCTCAATGTAAGAGTGACCCTGAAGGAGGAGGCAGAAAGTGTATCTGAAATGTTGGTAATTATCTACCAGACTACTACACAGTATTGTAACCCAGAGGACTGCATTCAGTAACAAATTATTGGTAACTACGTACCAGACTACACAGTGTCATAACCCAGAAGACAATAATCCAAATTTTCACAACTGTGGAAACCTCAAATCTCAAAACACTTTGTAGTTGGTTGGTGTGCATGCGTGCGTGCATAAGCATGTGTATACATGCATGGGAGGGTGCTAAAAATAGAAATACAAAGTAGTAATTTGTAGTAGGCTGCATGGATTCTTGAGCTATGAAAAATTTTACTCTTGATGCCATGTTGGTGACCGTGAACATGTTTCTGCAACAGCATTGATTATTTTTGTTTGTTTTTGTTTTCCCTCCCACTCCATTTTCCTTCAAGCACTGGGGCAGCAGACTCTTATGCTTTGTTTCTAATTGATTGGTTTTTGATTTCATGGATCAACCAGTGTTTCTTTCTCCATGGGACCAGTAATTGAGAATTGTTCTGGTAGACTCTTCAATGGCATGTTCTGTGTGTGGTACGACAGAGGCTCATCATATTTTGCAGTAGGACCATTCACACTTCCAAATTTATGTTGATTTGTTTAATAAATTCATTCCACCATTGCTTCATTCTCATCCATCACCATCTCCTAAAGGACCCTGACAGGTGACACCCTCATCTGGGGCTTTCCCCCTAACCTGACACAGAATAAAGAAGTGTTTTTAACTACTGATTGGTTAGGTATGACAAGGTGATGATTTAGTGACTTATATTCCATGAATATAAAAAATTAAGTCTGCTCATTGAGGTAGAAACTCTATGCATGTGGTCTCATGGGGAGTGCCTCCTTCTGGACTGGCACAGCTTGGTGCTTGCCCTAACTTGGTCAGGAATTTTTGGGTAAGTCACTTCTAAAGGCGATGTTGGGGTGTTACATATAGTATTACTGAGTTTCTGGACTCTGCCCATTATATAGTATTCTGAAGAACACTACATTTCAGAAACTGGTTCTGATTCTGCCCTCAGGTGAAAAGGTGGGAAGATACTTCCTCAGTTGGGTAAGTGACTGAATGGAAACAGATCCAATTTCGAAAGTATGTTCTTTTGGAATACTAGACGATGGACAAAGTCAGGAACGCAGTTTCAACATACTGCAGTGTGTAGAAATGTTTCTATGCAATGATTCAGTAAACACATTCCCATGGCAATGCATATGCATGCAACAATAGAGACTGTTGGAAACAGTGTTTTCTGCCAGATCTATGCTGAGGGGTTATAAGTGAGACAAGGTTTAGAGGTAAGTCAGTTGATAGTGGTGAAGAGAAGACTAGAAGGTTGGTGTGAAATGCCCGTGAGTTAGTTGCAAAAGTGCTCAGTTGATACCCCAGCTGGGAAGGGAAGATTTTATGTGTGCTATTCTCAGTGTGTAATTCAGTGAGGCTGTTATAGTTCCTGTGTTAAAATCTACTGCCAGGATATGGCTAGTGGGGACTGTAAAAGACTGAGGACACTAGTCTGTGTGTGACAGTGAACTGTAAACTGTAGTCACTAGTTGTGAGTAAATAAGTGGTCAGTTAATACCAATATCCAATCCAAAATCCACTTATAGTCACTCATACACGTACCAGTATGAATATCATCTGTGTTTACAGCTCACTGTGAGTGTAATTACAGTGGAATAGAACTGTTCCTGTACCTGATATGAATGTGATTGTTTTACAGCACAAAATAGACAAAATGAAAGTCGATCCAGATTCAAATAGAATATTGCATTAGCTGCTGTGAACATCATTGTTCTGCAGCCAGCATGAATGTAATTACATAGAGCTTGATTCATGGGTATTTATTCCAGTACATAATCGGTGCAAATCATTGTTTTACAGCACAACCTAGAAGTGATCAAAGTTGAACCTGATTTAGACACTGAAAGCCTGAGTGGGTCTCCCTTCTTTGAAGATCCCCTCACTGATGAAACTGAGGATGCAGACCCTCTACTAATAAAATCAGCTGTGGTGAAGGATGAAGTGAAAGTGAGTTTTCTTTTGTGAAGTAGAGAGTGCAGATTTAGTCTGCTACATACAAATGTATTAAGTTACATTTGTGTATTTTCATAGTAAATATTAGTGGCCATGAAGTATTTTACAGTATGTGCTGCATGCTCTTGTTTTACAATTCAGTGATAAATCACATTTTACCTTCAGCAGGAAGAGCTGTGTGATGTTACTAAAATCAAGGAAGAATTGACAGAAGAAGTAACTGCAGAGGAATGTTATGCATGTCATGACAAGTAAGTATATTGTTAATGTCACTTGTTCAGAGACTATAGACTGGATTTGGATTGGTAATTGAATTTATTTGGCTTTTGAAACTCACAACTGCAATTAACTGTAACAGTTTAACGGATATATGCACTTTAACAGATCATTAAAGTACGCACCAAGATTTCTTAGTCTACCGTGTCTTCACTATGTGTTGCTTGGTAATGGCTTTCCATGCTGAAGATTCCTGAGCTTCTGTGTTTCATGGCTCTGGCTGTTGCCCTTCTCACAACTCACCTAGGCATTACCTGGTTACAGTCTTCTAACAAGGGCTATTCCTCATGCCCTTACTGTACTGCTCTGCTGCTGACCTCCTAGCCAGGGCCCAGGACCATCTTTCTCAGACTGCTAACACCTCTGCTGGGGGGGGGGACTGTGTCACAACGTCAGATGCAGACTGACGCGCTCGGACTGTCTCTGAGCTTGACTGCCGCCTCCTAACCGCAGGTTTCGGTTCTCTGAATATAGCCTTGGGGTAGAATGCGCAGAAAATATCTTTTCTTGCAGCTGTTATATTATAGAGTGACATTCACCACGGTGGACCACACAGAAAAGACTGCTTCCAGCAGTTCTTTGTTGCATACATAAGTGTGGCTGCCATCATGTGACATGTACCAAGCCATTGCCTAGCAACAGGTGTTTCCAGAGCTATTCCATAGCAGTGGCTGACTCTGCTGGCTTCACAGTCCTGGCTTTCAGCAGGCATGCCACAATATCTTCCGACAGAAACAGTAATAGGTTGTTACCACGATCAAGAAGAGCTTAAGGACTTAATAATGTTGTGTCTACACAAGTGATTTCATTATTAATTCACCCCTTAGAATATGAAGCTTCAGTACTACCAACACAGCCCTCTCTCTGCATGACCTAAAGCTAAATCATTTCAGTTCAGACCATGTCCTTACAATCCATTTTCCTAATATTGCATTTAATTGTATCCTTAAGTTTTCAACCTCTTGATAGTCACCATATTCCTGTCGTTCCTCCATTAATATTCACTGATCCTTGTCATTCTTTTGCATATGATATAAGCAGAACAGCATTACTTCTATTACTTCAGAGCCATAGATGCCATAAAATTTACAGAATACATGAGATCTGTTTTTGAAGTAAATCACATTTTTGTAATTTCAGGACCTAATGGGTTAGATCAATTGTTGACACATATTATATGGGATGTTCGAGGTGTCTTGACCAGGGTACCTTATATCCTGATTGAGTTTGTTTTTTTTTTTTTTTTTTTTCNACTGCTTTTTCCACCTGAATCGTTACAAGTTCATTGTTATAATGATTATGGTATCTCATTTGCAAGTACCCATGAAGTATATGGATTAGATGAATTACATAAAAATAACTATAAAATCAGATGTATATTTATTGTTGTTGTCATTCATTGAATTGTAAACTTATAGCTGTACTTTGCTTACACCATGCGAAGTGTCCTACACCATATAAGGAATATAGTAGTCTGAACAGCAGATGAAAGAAATATGTCCTGAAATTTATGAGCTTCCAAGAAAAGTACATTTCTTCTTTTCTTTCTCAGTGTGGAGCATTCAACCAACCAACAGTGGCATTCAGTTATTACTGCAGACACTTCATCAGGATATGCCACTGTACATGTTGGCAGTCTTCAGGAAGAAGATACCTGCAGCGAGACTGAAATGTCGTTTAAACAGTGTGGAACACAAAGAAACTGTTGTAACATAGGATCAGACATTGAGGAAAGACATACGGTTAAAAAACTGAAACATGATTCTAAAAAGAAGGGAAGAATTTTATATAAATGTAAAATATGTAGCAAATCAATCTCTAGAAAGGAAAATCTAGTGATACACAATCGCATCCATACAGGAGAAAAACCTTTCAGGTGTGAAATATGCAATAAAGGTTTCATACGACGTGATGGCCTTGTGCGCCATACTCGGATCCACACTGGAGATAAACCTTTTAGCTGTGAAGTGTGCAATAAAGGTTTTATACAGCGTGGAGATCTTATAATTCATACTCGGACCCACACTGGTGAGAAACCTTTCAAGTGTAAAGTCTGTAATAAAAGATTCAAACAAAGTGCAGTGCTTGCATCTCACTCTCGTATACACACAGGTGATAAGCGTTTCAAATGTGATGTCTGCAATAAAGAATTTACACAACATGGAGGCCTTGTGCGCCACACTCGCAGCCATTCTGGAGATAAACCATTTAGCTGTCAAGTGTGCAATAAAAAGTTTGCAATGCGTGGTGATCTTGTGCGCCACACTCGGATCCACACTAGACATAAGTCTCACAGCTATGAAGGTTGCAGTATTGGTTTAGTGGAGTGTGGTGACCTTAACTCTTATCCTCATACTGGAGAGAACACTTTCAGCTCTTAAGTGAGCAACAAGTTTTGCACACCAAGGACATCTTGCCATCACGCTTGTACTTAAATTGCACCCTTCATCCTTGAAGTACACAATAAAGACACACACACATATTAATATTAGAAACAAATCTTTCTACTTTTAAAATGCAACACGTGTTTCACATTACCTGAAAAGGAAAACAGATTATTGTAACTTGATATCTTTCATGTGGTTTGGAGAGTCTTGTTTCAAATGTTAAATTATAGTAAAGGTCTTTGACACTGTGGACATCTGGTCCAATAAATTTTTCATAATGAAGTCAGCACATGCCTTCTGTGACAGTATATATATATACATACCCATTTACAGTTTGTCTGTTTTTGTGTAGTAAAGGCAGTTTCAAATTTATTGTGGCTGTAATTTTTGCAAATGAAATTGTGTTGTAATATTTCTCATGTTTTTGTTTCTGAATTGCACCTTGGCTGATCTGGGCCAATTATTCTTGTCACTAACAAAGTAAATGTAAAGACTACAGCTTCATTAAATATAGAAATTCAGCATATCTGATGAAAGCTGTATTTGGTAATGTGTATTAGCCCAAGTCTGTAGTCAGGAACTGTGCCATATTTTTTAATATCTATTCTTGATACACTGTCTAGTCATATGTCATGTACCAGGATAGATTTGTTTTTAGATTACTGATCTTACATCCATTTGTTATCTCCCTCCTAATATATGACGAAGATTCTTATTATGTAATTTTCTCCATCCTGCTGATACTTCATTTGTCGAGTCTAAGGATTCTTTTCAAAACTTTTCTCTTTTTCCTTGGGATGTTACATGAATCTTCACACCCATATAAGTAGTTCCTTATATCTTAATCTTTTAGATGGACAGTAAATGTATCACACTAAATAACATCACTGAAGTTTCTGGATCTTAGAGCACAGTTAGTAGAAAAGTGAAACTAGAATAAGTGCATGGGTCCCTTTACCCAGCATTCAGTGTAGGGCTGCTGTGCCAGATATGTGATTAAATGCATAATGTCAGAACAGCCTTTTAAATAAAAGTTGCATAGGTCTAAATATGGATTTAAAACGTTGAAAAGTTTTTATGGCAGTAGTGATTTAAACTAAGAGCTCTGTGATGGCCACTTTAATTGCAGATCATTTATTTAAGTCACTGGGATTAGTGAAAAAAGTGTTCACTTCAGTAAACATTGAATTTATATATGCATATATTTTGTCAGAACAATGGTAAAGGGAGTTTAAGAACAGCTATAGGGTCTGTACAAGAGGGTAGGATACAAGGAAGCTGGAAAAATTACCCAGTGAGAGATCTTCATAAATTTTTGCATTTTACCAAATATTAGGGTAAATGTGTCAAGGAAGATGCAATAGGGGCATGCTGTTGCATATGCAGACTCCTGATACTGAACCTCACAACACGTTGACAAGTCTTCTTGTCCCCTTGCCAAATATTTGGGTGGGACCCTGTCTATCTAGTCTAGGTTCTCCCCAATGAAGGTGTGACAGAAGCCCCCATTTACAGATAGCTTTTATTCTGTTACTAATATCGAAAGGGGTGCTAGCTGATATGAACATAAGACTGCACCACCCATAGTTGGAAGCAATCCTTACCTCAGTACCTAATGTGGAGTCTCATACCTTGCTAAGAAAAGCCAGTACAGTTCTCTTTGGGTGTAGCCCATGCACGTGGCGACAGGGCAGTTATTGTACTTAACATAATACCCTGAACAAAGAGTTGGACTTCATGGTTACATGTTATACTGTCAGGACCATCTAGGCATATACCACACTGTTGAAATCACTGTTTCACACATCACCGTGTTAACAGATAAATACAAGGTTACAGAGATAATCTTCACACAGCGTCTGGGCTTCATCATCAGATCTGTCATTTGTCTTCAAGCGTTAGGACTCTTGATTCTTCAGTAGACTCTCACTGATTTTATTTGAACTTCTGAATACCTCATAACATTTACTTTAAGCACTTCACACTTTGAATCCTGGTTTCCATTAGCATTGCATTCATTTCAATGTCACCCTTAGGTTTCCATTGCTAAAGGGTGAGCTACACCATGTAACCCAACTTCTTTAAACCTAGCATTATATTTCAACTTGTAAACAAATAGGCAGTTATCTTGTGTTGCCTACAACAGACTTGACTTTTGATTCTCGACATCCCAAATGTGTCTGTTCCACTCAGTCGCTGTAGGCATATCCTTCCTCCATCCATGAGATACAAGAATACATTAAAAGGTAAAGCTATCCCTGTAACAGGCTGTAGGCCCATAGAGTTATAAAACATAGAGGCTCCCACATTATCTAGACAGTGGGGTCACAGATGGTAGTGAGGTTGTCAGCCTTACATGCCTGCCACCCTTTACCCCCAGGAAGATTCCTGGTTCTCATTTCTGTCAGAGGCTGAGTTGACTCCAGGGCTGTAGTAGAGCTGGAAGGATTAGACCAATTGAAAAATCCAGTGACCTTGTCGGGAACCAAAACAGCAACTATCTATGTTATAGCATAGTGCCTCAACCAACTATGCTACTGCATGCCCCCACAAGAGTACAGTATGGTTGGAAATCCTAAAAGGAAGAGACCACTTGAAAGACTGTGTGTCGGTGGGAGAATAACATTAAAATGGATTGTAAAGAAATATGTGAGAGGTTGTGGACTGATCAACTATTTATAGATGGGGACCAGTGGTGGGCTCATGCGAAATAGTAATGAAGCTTGGGTTGTATGAAATGCATGGCGCTTCTTGACTAGCTGAGTGACTGTTCTTAGGACTCTGCTCCATGCACTGATACATTTTGTTTTTGGAAGTACATTATAGAATATGTGGAAGTAAAATACTTTTGGTTGTGAATGTAGTGTCTTGAGCAAGGTGCAGCCATCTATCCTTTACTTAGTAATAATGAAAAGGCTGCAGGATGGTTATGATATGCACAGTCAATCTGTACAGTTTGATGCCACACTTCTCATATCATCCAGATGACTGATACTGAAACCGTGAAATTACATGGGAGGAGGTTGCATGTATAAATACCTGTGCTTGGTGGTGACATATTTGACTTGATGTGCATTTATAAACTTATGCCAAAGTTAGTAACTAAGCAACACGTGTTGTACTGCAGTAGTAACACAAACAGCACATGTTTGTAGTCTATAGAAAGTAAATCCACAGTTATGTAAATGTTACAAAGGTTTAGGTAGAGCCTGCTGTCTCCATCTTCAGGGTAGAACTTGAGCCATATCCTGGAAGACAGTAAAGTTCATGTATTGCAGACTTGGATACTTACTGATAACTTGGTCTTCAGCTTCAGAGCCGTCGGTGAAATGGTTTGCCTCAGTGTATATAAATGCATCATCTCTAAAGAAGGTAGTGTAACAGTCCAATCTTGAAACGAATCCTACTGCCCCTTTAATGACCCCTTATTTGTCATTAAACCCTAGCTGTTGAAATTTATACTAAAGTGGTAAAGCATAGCCAGGACATGTTTGACACAGCAACCAAAAAAAAAATGGCTTTGTTATCAATATTAAGCAGGCTGGGTAGATCTGCTTTGCAAAGCCTGTGCTGACAAAGAAAGAATTTTCAATAACATGCTGTATGTGTATTACACATGCTTGACAAAAGGCCAAGCATGTTAACAAGAGAAATACCCATCTTATCAGAGAGGATGTTACGTAAGGAATATTACTGCAAGGATTCAGTTGAAAGGAAGAATCTCTGGTCGTAGGTCTCAAGGGGCTTGACACCAAGATGAACTGATTAGCAGTAAGCCACCAGTCTTAAAGTAACTTTAAGATTGATTGTGGTTGAGAGCTGTTTACACTCAGTGTAAGATGGAGCTCAGGCAGTCAATGTCTGTGAGAGAAATACAGTAGATACAAGTATCTTGGTGTAATCTTCAATAAGATTACATGGAGACTGCACATAGAAATGAACGAAGCCAAGGCCTTCAGAACATTTATTAGAATATATTCCATATTCAAAAGTGAGCGATTAAGCACTAACATTAAATTGGCTCTCCATAAAGGACACATTAGGATTACAATGATTTACGCTTGTCCCACCTGGGAGTTTGCGGCAGAAATTGCAGCGCCTGCAAAGCAAGGTTCTCCACACCATTGGAAATTTTCCAGGAAGCACGCTGGTTTGTTTTGCATGTGGCTTTCAAACTTCCATATGTATATGATTATATAACAAAATTATTCAGGCAACAAAATCGTGAAAATGCAAATATTCCCAACACTGGGCAATTCGAAGCCCAACATAGGAATTATAAGGGGCTTAAATTTGGTGGCGGTCAAGCATACGACGATTCAAGTGATTAGCCACCCAGTTGTAGTGTGAGCCACTAAAGATAGGGCATGAGCTGGTGTAATGAGCTTCAACTGGCTGAGGCCTTCTATATATTCTGTATACATACGAACATGTAACAACACAAAATACATTCTGACAATGGCTACAACAAATGACAGACCCATCCTCTCTTCAAAGACAGTGCCACACATGGACAAAACCATAACTGTCAAAGAGCAAACAGTAACTAATATCTGGTTTTGAGCCCCAGCTGTGGCTCGACACCAAGACAGACTGACTGACCATTGGTCGCAGCATAACATAAAAGTTGACTTTGGTTGAGAGTTGCAGTTGTGAGAAGTGAGAAACTGGTAGCTTGGTCTGGAGAAAATTCGGGAAACCAGAGGAAGGGGAGCATCCATCATTGTGAGCTGTTACCAAGGAACGGCTAATGAAGACTGAGAACACTTCATGTGTGCTGTAGTTACGTTCTGCAAGTGTTCAGTAAATCCAGTTACCAGTCAAAAACCCGTCTGTAGTCACTCTATCACGTGACAGTACTTTATAATGTAGTTTCTGCTTTTTGCAAGCATTGAAGTAAAGGAACTGAATATTTTCATACATTATACATTAATGCCTGCATGAGCCCGGTTACCTCGGTATAGAGACGGTCTATGAGCGGAGTTCGATTCCCAGCAAAGGTAAAATTATTTCTTTCAAAGCGTCTAGACCGGCTCTGGGGCTCTCACCCATGTAATGGATACCATGGACTTCTTCCCCCGGGGTAAAGCGGCTCGGGTGTGAAGCCCACCACTCAACTCCATTCAGCGCCAAGTTCAGAAATGGCGGAGCTATACCTCCGCTTCCCCGATCGTCTTATGGCGTGGTTCTTAATTAAGCAGGCATAGGAATGACTTCGCCTTTCTCCGTATTTAATACACATTCTGGACTCAAACCTAAGGTCTATGAAAATAGAGACACGGACGAAAAGATGATTTTAGTATATTGTGCTCTGGTGACTGAAACTGAATTTCGATTATTTCATGGAACATATCGAGTATATGGTCCCCCATTTTGGATGCTGTTACATCGGAACGGAAATTACTGTGTTGGAGAAAATTGTGGAACAGGGATATTCTTTTCTGTAACAACATAAAGGAAGGGAAATACGACTGTGTAGCGAGAATTTCGACTCTCTGAGAAGATGAGAAGGGATATTCCGTGATCGGTATATGTATGTGTGCTGTTTATGTTCGCGTGTGTTATGTCGGTTTGAGTTTTGAGGTGATGAGGGTTGTAGACGTTAATATGTTTTAAGTTAAGGAGGCTGTTACGCGAAAAGTTGCACAAAGACATCGTGGTATGATACAAAACGTATGTTAAATGACCTAGTGTTTCTATAATTTAAACATTAGACCAATTTAATTGCGTGCGCCAATAGTACATAGGTTCGATACTGCCAACGTCGTGAACTGTTTAAGAAATAATTGCATGGCATTCTGATGTCGACCAAGTCGGCATGTTTTATTAAGGCCTGTAGTTTAAGCAGTAATTTTGATTTTGTCGGCCGGTTTTATTAAGGTGAATGGTTGGCTGTGCGGAACATTCTGAAAGGGCTGCCATAAATGTCACTGAATACAAGGTGAACTTGTAAGTCTTAAAACATTTCTCGTGCAGTATGTCTAGTAATTCAGGAGAATTAACTGGGGAACTACTATTTATGATTCTGTATTTCAGCATCCCGTTGCAATTGTTCAAATTAGCGTCCATTGTTTATCCTCCGTCAAAATTGCAACACTTTTGCATTCTACACTTCAACACTACATGTTTCGGCCTCAAACGGCCATCTTCAGGTGTTTTTATGTTAGATATTTTACTAAAACTGCGTTACAAAGTGCTACACTGTTTTAATTCGTGTTAATATCACACGCAGTAGTCTTCTTTTTAAGTAAAACGAAATAAAATTCTTTAAAATTTCTGTTGCATATTCCACCTCACCCGGGGTGTCATTTTCGTAAATGTATCAAGGTGTTTTTCTTGGCAACTTGCCCCTCACTTTCGTGGTCTACTTTCAGTTTTTGACTGCCATATGCTCCTGGTTTGTGTGTGATTCCTCCACAGCATGTGGTGTTTGAGGCCAAAACATGTAGTGTTGAAGTATAGAATGTAAAAGTGTTGCAGTTTTGACGGAAGATAAACAACGGACACTAACCGGGGAAATTGATGTTACATTGTGCAATAGACGAATGGAGATCCAAGAATTATTGCAGCATAGTAGAATAGTGGGAGTTTATTTATGTTGGAATAAAACACAGTGGAACAAATTTAGAATAGGCAGTCTAGATTGTTTTCTGTTTGGTCTAGCCAGATCAGTTGTATTTTGTAGGTCACCAGACTATATGTTAGTCTGGTCAGTATGTACCTCAGGCGCATGGTACTCTTTTCAGAAGTATAGCTTTTATGCTTTCCATATTCTTTAAACTGTTTTCTGTATGGCTTTGCCAGATTAAGTGTATCCAGTTTGTCACTGCAAGGAAGAGTGCTGTTGCTGTGGCAGCTAGTAACAGTTTCAGGTTTGTGATGTCTTGAATTTTGCAGCTGCACCTCTGTTCTGAATGTGACCATTGAATATTGTTTAGCTTGTTTTCAGCTTTATTCTCAGGTAGTTAAACCATGCAACATTTTCCAGTCTATCTTGTTCCCTGGTGAAGTTGTGCTGTTCCAACTTCCTTCTCTTTCCAAACTTCATAATTTATTTTGATTCTCATCATTAGCTGGGCAGTTTTCTGTTGCCCATGCATTCACACTGTTAAAAAGTTGCTTGTAGGTCTGCAAGGGTTTGATGGGACTAGCACTATATTGTCTACAAACATCAGTATTGTTATCCCTTGGAGGTTGAGAGTGCTCTCAATCATTAGGTTCAACAGGAGGGGGCTCATTGAATCACTGAACAGGTTTGTCTAGAGGTAATGCTGTACATTTATGTTCAGGAAATGCTTGGTTTGAAACTTCTCTGGGTCACTGGCTATTCGGATTGAGATATTTCACAGTTTTCCTCAGTCTCTCCAGGAAAACACTGAGGTATTACCTTCTTTCTGCCAAATTCTTTCTATTTCAGAATTCATGTCATCCTGTTATGCACTGTCATGTAGTCACGATACTGAAAGTGCCGTTAAATAACCAACTACTTATTGAGTCTTATTATAGTTCTCCATTTGTTTGCATTATATTATCTGTTACTCAGTTGCTTCCCCTGATGTAATTTTGATTCAAGATATTCCTAATTTGGGATACTGTGAGATCGCATCTTCCCAGCAGTAATTCCAGTTTCTACATATATTTTCCCTTGCCAGAGCTGTCAGAGCATTTGCATAACTGTTGAACATTCTATACATACAGCTCTTCAGCCAGCTGATGCTGCTATATGCTTCAGTTAGCAGTTTTGTTTTAACATCTTGAAGGGATGACTTTCCTGTCATTAAGCCATATTTTTTGTTCAGGATTATGTTGTGTTTTGTGCCAGATATATGATTAAGGACATGCATGGTGTTGCTGAAATGTTTTTCATAACCTCTTTTCATTAACCATATAGACACTTCCTCTTGTACAGCATCAGAGTCCTCTGTTTTGCCCAGTTATGTCTTTACCTTCATCTCGTTACTTGATGTGAGATCTATATAAGAGCTTCCAGACTTCCCTTCAAAGACATTAATCATGAAGATGGCAACTGCGTTGTTTGCCAAATCAATGGGAAACATTTAGGCAGTAATACGCAATGTATTAGTGAAGCCATAAATTGAAGCTCATCACCAAAACCTAAGGGCAAGGACTGTTGATATTGTGTCTCGAGCTTGTATTGGAGAATCCTTTTATGCTTTATTTGCAGGTAGTTGAATGTCTATAGGGTGTTTCACGACTTTAGGGAATAACTGCAGGAGGTGATTTCCTAGGTCTTGGTGATCAAAAAAGTCCATATAAACATGTGTCCAATTTTGGACGGTTATGGAATTATGACCATTTTAAACTCAGAATAGAAGGTAACAATTACTGACAACAAACAGAACAAACTAATAAATCAGCATAATACATGATACATTTAAAGTATGAATGTAAAGTTAACTTCATGAAATTACCTTTAATTTGAATTTATTGGTGCTTAAAGCTGCTTTTTGAAAATGTCACCGCCGGCCACAACGCAGGCTGCCGCTCGGTTGTGAACCATGCGGGTACATACCAACCCACCACGCCTTAGGTACCTCTCAAGTGTCGAGATAACAAGAACGCTCTGTCTGTAGCTGGCTAAAAATAGCGACCCGCCACATGATAGACGCGGTTCACATGAGGGCATGTACAGGAATGAAAAAACAGTCATAACTCCGTAACCGTCCAAAATCGGACACATGTTTATATGAACTTTTTGATCACAAAGACCTAGGAAATCACCTCCTGCAGTTATGCCCTAAAGTCGTGAAACACTCTGTATATAAGATATCTTTATTTTGTTCATGATCTAAAAGTATTGTGCCATAGTCAGAAGGAAGCTTCGCAGTGTGGGTTAGTTCAAGGTGTAGTTTTAATTAGCCCTTTCAGGCAGAAGTTTAGATAACTTGAATTCTTTTCACATCCTTTCCAGTCCAGCCATAATAATCCTCTCCTTTTACACATAATTTATGCAGTTGTGAATAGATCAATATATATGTGGCATTTTGATAGGCAGACGGTAGTTGAGTGGTTTCTCAGTTGCTGATCTTCATTCCACAGATACTTCATACTCATCTATGGCTCGTTGCCTTCTGATGTGTGCAACAGCAGTTTTATTATTGTCGTAAGTTGTATAGTATGCGGTTTTCAGTTTAATGACATTATGCTCATATCTTACCTGTGAAGTTTTAGTAGCATAAAATATATAGTGTAGCTCTTTGAAACCAGAAGAATAATTTTTTGTTAATTTATAATAATAATAGACATCCCTGAGACTTGAAAGTCACAATAGAAACCTGCCAATTTGTTTATGAAGTGGTGGGAGAGTAATAGGGGTTACCAGATATTCTATACATAGACATTTAGGATGATCTTACTGGGAGGTTGTAACTGTTGCATCTTTTAGAGTACAATCACATGGCAGTCTGAAGTTGAGGTCTAGTTCATGAAATTTCAGCCTGTATGATCAGTTGGAATATTGTGTTGTGAGAACCAGTTCTTTATAAGTTGAGTGGATTTTCATTATTTCTGAAATAGAAAAATCTCTGTATAGAAACTGGCAAAGTTTTTTACTTTTGATCAGGATGGTTACTAGACATCTGATTGACTGAATTCCACAGTGAAGTGCTTTGCAGTACTGCTTATATTCTGGAGGTCCTGAGTATGTGTTGTCATGTGTTAGTGACTAGAAATGAAGTTTGGTTTGGTTTGGTAATTGGATATATTGGACACTTATACCTTGTAACTACAGGTAATTAACTAATCACGCACTTTATGACTCACTACAACACACAATAAGTTTTCTCAGTTTGTCTTCACTAGCAGTTGCTAGGTTACAGCTCCCAACAAAGTAGATTCCTCAGCTGTTGTATTCACGTCCTTACTGGATGGCGATGGTCCCACAGCTCTTGACTCTCAACTAGCTCATGGCATCACTAATTACTTACTGACCCTCCTAGCTCCCACTGGCCGTCAACTGATATTGACTGCAAGTAAAAGTAAAGCTATCCCTGTAAGAGGCCATGAAGGCCCATAGGGTTGTGAGACGTTGAAGGTCCCACATTATCTAGACAGTCGGCTGAAAGATGGTAGTAAAGTTGTCAGCCTTACGCACCCTCAGCACTTTACTCCATAGGAAAATTATTTTAATTAATTCCTGGTACTCATTTCTGTTAGAGGCTGAGTCGAACCCAGGGCCATAGTGCAGCTGGAAGGATTAGGTCAATTGAAAAGAATCCAAAGATCTCATCAGGACTTGAACCCGTGACGTCCCGGCTTGTAGCATAGCCCCTCAACCAACTACGCTACCCAATATTGACTGCAGCAAGGTCAAAAGTCAAAGTCAGAGTTACTTTATGACTGGTGGTTTACTGCCAATCAGTTAATCTTGGCTCCAAGTCCCTTGAGGCTCATGAACAAAGATTTTTTTTCCAACTGAATGCCAAATGGCAGCTTGCTGTATAGCCTTAGGTTGGACCAAATAGAAAACGCAGTTTTCAGTAGTTCCTTTGTTGTTGTGTGTTTATTTGTTATCCCAGAAACTTATTTATCAAATCATTACCAAGCAGTGGCTCTCTTTATCAGTCACTGTATCACATTGCTGTCTCCTTAAGGCTGCTCATCTTGAGTAGCCCATAGGCATATTGCCATTCCATCCAGAAGTTACCGATGCTCCTGCAGCCACCGGTAGTCTTTTCTTTCATTTGGATGGGGCCAGCTTCTCAAAAATGCTGTCTCTTGTTTTCTGGAGCCTGGCGGAGAACCCTACTGCTGACTTTACAGTATGTAAATGATACCAGGCAATAATAATCACAGCTGATAACAATGGTCGGTTATCCTAATGAGATCAAATATCAGATATTGAAAAATTAAATATTTACCTGCTGAGAGCATATAGAAATCCTTTTGTAAGATATATTTTCTCTGGTCGAAAGTGAGTGTTAAAAAGCTTGTTTTGTTCATCCTGAAAGGTGTTAAGTACCATGTAGGCAGCAAAACTATTTTAGATAAGAAGGTTGAAACCAGATTTCAGCATTGTATGCAGTCACTTGATTCAGGAGGAAATTAAGAGGACATTGAATTTTGGTAATGCTCACTACCATTCAGTCCAGAACCTTCTGTCTTCTCATCTGCCTTCTAAAAGTATAAAAGTTAGAATATATAAAACTATAATTTTGCCTGTGGTACTGTATGGGTGTGAAACTTGGTCTGTGACATTAAGAGAGGAACATGGTCTGAGGGTGTTTGAGAACAGGGTGTTGAGGAGAATATTTGGACCCAAGAGAGATGAAGTGACAGGAGGTTGGAGAAAACTGCATGATGAGGAGATTCATAACTTGTACTTTTCTCCAAGTATAATTAGAATGATCAAGTCAAGGAGGATGAAGTGAGGAGGGCATGTAGCATGAATGGGGGAGAAGAGGAATGCATGTAGGATATTGATGGGGAAACAAGAAGGAAAGAAACTACTAGCAAGCCCTAGATGTAGGTGTATGGGTAATATTAAAGTGGATCTTAGAGAGATATAATGGGGTGGTATAGACTGGATTGATCTGGCTCAGGATAGGGACTAATGGAGGACTCTTGTGAAGACAGTAATGAACCTTTGAGTTCCCTAGAATGTTTGGAAGTTCTTGAGTGGCTGAGTGACTGGCATCTTCTCGAGAATGGCTCAGCACCATGAAGTTATTTATGCAGCCACTTAGCAGTAGTTGGGTTTCAAAATGAGAAATAAATGTATTCCGGCATTGGTGGCCGATGGACCACGTGTACCAGAAATGGTTTCCAACCCATCTGCTTCCCAGATTCCGACAATATTTTGAATAGGTGGAAGAATCATGTCCGTCATCTGTTGACTTCATGAACTTAATATCGTAATTTTAAGCATGTTGAAATACATATAACAAGAGTGCATTGGCTGAATTATTTTGAGATCAAGATGGTAATTCAAAACTTTGAAAATGTATAAAATGATAAATCTGAGCAAAATTTATTTGACTACGAGGAATATATAATGTTTTGGGATCCACAGATTTTGCACACTTATGCAGTCCACATTAAAAGTAACACATACGTGAATTCAGTACCATGTTAGAAACAACCACAAGCCTAATGGAAATGTATATTATGTCTCAGTATATGACTGCTGAACCATATTTGTCCATAATATGCAGTTTTTCATACTGGAACTTCTTAAAAAAGCAGTTGGATTCCGCAGGATGATACTGCCCTCTCTTTCACAAGGGCAGCCTTGACTGTATTCACAACATTTTTAACAAGACAGAATTTTTTCAAGGGATTGCAGCCACCCATATCCTGGGAACTGACATCCCCTGACTATTGGAGGGGGGGTTTAAAGCATGCATGTACCAAAGAAGCGTACAACTGAAAGCGAAGATTCAAAATGTCATCAGAGCAGAAACATGTTTTGTGAAACATGTTCAAGAGAATTCGTGTATGCATTCAGAATAATGACACACACGTCTGCCAAGTTTTATGGTCAGGCATTTATCAGCGCTGTTTGGGTACAGTTTTAGATGGATCACTCTGCACCTGGAATGGTGGTCTCAGTAAACATTCCAGGGCCTGTAACCCATTCATGAAACGAAAGGTTTTGTGAGCTTTGTTGCTTTTTTTCATCAACATTTTTATGTTTTCCCAGTACCTACTGGCAACCAGTTATTATTTCTTGCAAACAGATCTCTCCTGCATAACTCCCGTACCATTTCCTTCTACCTCTGAGGTTTGTGTTATGTTTCATAAAGTGAATGAAGACTTGCTATGCAAAATGGTTTATGAATTAATACAAATTATTTTATATAGTCTTTCTTAGTCATTAAAGTTTATTTTGAAATTATAGTTCAGTCAGATGATTAAGTAAATTGCATCGTTGCTCACAGTGAAAATGCAGTGTCAACAGGTATTTGACAGATAAAACATGAAAAAATTATCATAAAAACCTACAGATAATATAGAATTATTATGCCATTACTCACCATTTTGTGTTAACCAGTTTCCACTGTAAAGTTAAAATTGATCTTAAGGAGAAAGGTTTCAGTAATTTGAATCGTAATGAACAAGCTTGAGTGACGAGCTTTTCTTTTTAGACTTGTTGGACCTTCAGATTGTAGCACCAGAGGGTGAATTACAAGTTTCATCGTTTATGAAAAACACAGTGGTTTGATCATGCAGTGTTTAAGATGTTTAATATGTTTTTAATTAGCTTCTTCCAGCATGATTTAATGTTGTGACTATTGATGATTTATTTTGAAACTTAGTTTCTTTATTGTTTCAGTTCATCTGAATGGTCTACAACTTAAAACATCAGATGAGTAACTCTTCAGATGATTTTGTTTTACCGTCATCTCAAGAATTAAAGATTGCTGCAGAAGGTGTGTAGTGATTCACATCACATTTGCAATGAATCTTTCTGGATGCTAAATGTTGATGTAACCATACATACCTATATACATTACGTAACATTCGATGGTTCCAGAGTTGGTCAAAAATGTCTGTAGAATGTGGAATAAATTATAAAAATACAACAAGTAAAGTACAACTGAAGTTTGTTTTTTTCCTGTGGCGCTACAGCCCCAATTTGGGCCTAGGCCTCCCTCCATGAAACTCTCTGTTTCACTTCGGTTTACTAGATCTTACACATACGGTAGGACTCCTTAGGTGAGTGATCAGCTCGTCGCAAGGCCTCTACCTGTAGACAAACACAGAAAAACGCACACAAACATCCATGCCCTGAGTAGGATTCGAACCCACGATCTCGGTTTCCGAGCGAGCGAAGACAGTGCATGCCTTAGACCGCTCGGCTACCATGACCGGCCCAACTGAAGCTTTACATAAAAAATAAAAATATAGCATGATGGTTCAGATAAGGTACACATCTATACTTCCACCTTTGAGTAGATATGAGTCATTTTTACATAATAGAAATTCATCAACAGACTAGAATGAGTGTGTATTTAAGTATCATTTTACTAAGGTTAAAGAAAGGGTGAAGCCATCTCTGTAAACAGACCATGAAGCCCTGTGGGGTTGTGAGAGGTCAAGGCTCCCACCTTTTCTAGACAGTCAGCTCACAGATTGCGGTGAAATTGTCACTCTTACGCACCAGCAGCCCTTTATCTCCAGGAAGATTCCTGGTACTCATTTCTGTTAGGGGCCAAGTCGACCTGAGTTCCATAGTGTGGCTGAAAGGATTAGGTCAATTGAAAAAATCCACCTCATCAGGTCTTGAACCCACGACCTTCTGGCTTGTAGCATAGTGCCTGAACGAACTACACTACCATGTGCCCTGTGTCTTTTTAGTGTTACTTTATATATGCCTTTTCATTCACAAGTCATTTGACAGTAAATGGTTGGTGAAAATCTTGATGCCAGCATACTCTTCACTTTTCTGATAACATCAGAGGTGGACTGTTGGTCTATGAAGATGATACTTTGTTCATGTGTTAAGACTGTGTACACCTGAATTGGTCTGAAAATATTTTTGGTTCTTTACAGTGAAGTTCATTAATGAAAGTGTGTATTCACATGGAAGAGGTAAGATCTATAATCTCTTGAATAGACCTGGGTTTCACACTTGCCATGATTCTAACAACTTTGCTTTTAGATGAGTTATCTTAGAAAATTATTGTCATATTTCTTTGCAGCAAAATAGGTTGTTCCGAGGGTGTCAAGTGTTGCTGACATGTAACATGTGTAACTGCATAACAAGTACCCGATTGCTTTTTCATCACTCTCCAAATACCCCTGGTCAGAAGGTCTGAAAAGGTAGCAGCGTTTAAGTCTATTACAAAACTTTTATTTATTTTAGTCGATTACATTTTAAAGTGTTTTTCTTCCAGCTGAAAATTCAAAATGTGAAAATATGCGTATTGGAGACTCAAATAGTGGAGAAAGTGAGAAGGAAAATGATAATGGCAGAGAGAGTTTTAAATCCTCACCTAAAGTCCACCGTTCTTCAATGGTAGTGCTTAACACGGAAGAAGAAATGAAGTACAGGCATAAATACTTTAAAGGTAAGGCGGAAGCTGGGAGCTATACAAACAGTAAGGCAGAGTTTTGTGTAATTGTGACATTGTGTATATGAAGATTTTGTTAATATTCTACAAGTAGTTCCTTCATCAACATCAAAATTCCGTAGCTTGTAGTCCGCAAGCGAACTATACTGACTGAGTGACAGCTGCTTGTCAGCCAAGTTAGTGCAAACTTTAGTGGATAAAGGGTGTTGTGTGGTCAGCGCAACGGTTCCCCACTGCCATTAATCTCGGTTTTCTAGACCGGAGCCTCTATTTACTTGAAATAGCTCCTCAGTTATCCTCATGAAGTTGAGTGGACCCTGTTCCAGACTCACTACTTCTCAGAAAATCTGGTAGTGCCGGGATTCGGACCCAGGACCTCTGGATCTGTAGCCAGGAACTCTGACCACTAGACCACAGAGGCAGTCATCTCCATCTACATGAAAGTCCCAAATATCAATGTGTCATTACCTGCTCCATTTCCCCAGAATGATAGTTCATAGGGAAAAGGGAAATGCAAAGACCAGAACTACTTCAGGTAGTTGGTTGATTCTAAGGAGTATACTGATATGGATGTAACTCCTAAACACTTCTGGAAGAACCAGTTACTGAAACTTGAGCAATAGAAATACGTAGGAAACAAAGTTATGACCTTGGGGCACAGGAACTTGGCAAAAGGAAGGGAAGAAAGTGTGTTAAGGAATGACTTAATAAAATAGTTTAATTATGTTTTTAATTTCCATAATCAGTTAATTCATTAATTAGGTTAATACAACTACCATTAAGAGAAAATTCAAAGATTCCAACAGCAGCCCATCATGATGCAGTTTTTCCTCATGCCCAGGCGTTCCTTCAGAATGTGAAGCACAGTTGTATGCGCTAATCCTGTCTCTCGGATTGGCACACGAATCGTATGGCATTGATCACTCTTCAGTAACCCGGAAAGAGCATACACTTCTTCTTCACTGACACTAGGACGACCTGGCCGACGCATGTCTGCCACATTTTGGTGTCCCTCATTGAAGGCTTTTACCCACCTTGCCACTGTTCTGTAAGGCAATGCAGATTCCCCGCAAGGCTCTTGAAGACCTTGATGACACTGTCGTGGTGTACAGCCTCTGGCACATGCAATCTTTATCCAAGTCCGTTGTTCCTGTTTCGAAAACATCATAACAACACTACATTAGACCGTCAGCTAACATGAGGCTCTGTTCTTCTTGTCACTGCACATGCACGTGATGTGGGAAGGGAGAGTCCATTTGCTCTGAGATAAGGTAGGTATGTAACTAACATGTGGTATAAGCGACATTATTTGGTTCCATTGCATAGCATTTCTACAGCAGTGTTGCCACTATTAAAATTCCAACCCTCGTACAAGGCCTCTTGTCAGTCTAGGCTCAGTACAGTGCCCTATTTCTATTAGTATTTGCTACCATGGCAGTGGCAGCCCCAACAGAAAACACCTTTTACTAACGATTCCTCAATTGTTATAGGGATAGAAACAGCAGTTCTTCTATTGTTGCATGCATGTTCATTTCCGCAGGAACCTATTTACTGAGTCGTTGCATAGCAACAAACATCTACTGTGGCTCCACTATTCCAGCTTTGAGGCATCTATTACAATATATATAAAACATAGCAAACAGATATGTGATTTCAGTCATCATCTAAACTGGTATTCTGCAAGTATTATTACTGATCTCTTAAAATTTTTTGTCTGTTTATCTTCTTTACCAGATTGAATGCATATTTTTATTAATATTAAACCAATAATTCAAATACTACTCAAACAGAAACTGTTTTCATAAGGTTTTAATGACAAAAGTGAAATGCTAACCATTGATATTTGCACTGCAGATGTATGATTTTCAGTGCAGTATGAGGTCATTAGGATGTATGGTAACATCATTTAATGGTGTAACCATTTAGCCCAACTTTCTTGTCAGTGACTAGCATTGTGGTTATGTATGAATATTGAAGTTGTAATATTAATAAATATTTTTTCAGATGAGAGTGAGGTTGTCACACACCGCATGCTGCGTTGCACCGCCTGTTGCACTAACCTGCAAGCAGTTGTTTTAGAAGGTCGGGACATATATCATCATCCTGTCCTGAGGGTGCTAATGTGTAGGGTATGTTTGTTTGTTTGTTAGTACCATTGGATCTGTAAAAGACAAAGATAAGTCCGTGTTACAGTAGTAAAGTTATTCTGAATATTGTGTAAAAGGTAAAGATTTCCCTGTGCTTAATTAAGTATGGCACCATGAAAACTTGGGAGAATGGAACTATGGAAGTTTGTGGTCAGCTGTATATCTAGTTATCTTACACCCTAAAAATAATCCCTGCTACCCATTTGATAGGAGGCTTAGTGGAACCCAGAGCTTGTCTGGAAGCTGTGGAGAAGAATCTCTATCAGTGCCATGAATTGAACATCCATTTGCTGCTTATGCAGTCCATAGTCTTGTCACTGTACTGACTGAGCTACTCAAGCTCTTCTGAATGCTGTTTATGCTTTTAAATAAAGTGAATGCTCTTGGATTTGAGGTTCTCGTGCTTTTGACTACACGGGTCATTTCATAAATAATGCACAGCTTGGCAACACTGCGGATTAGAAGACGCAACAACCATGAGCCTCACATCATTTACAGTTCAGGGCTTGAGAAAGAAGCGTGTTATTTTGTTTCATTTATAATATACTCTGTTCTTAAATAACATGAGTTAGAAATGGAGCCTGCACGGTTCCCGGGTACTGTGACTGTTGAGGATCAGAGGTCGTACATTAAGATCGAAACTTTACGTGGAAAAAACCTAACAGAAATCTACAGCTGAAATCACAGTCCAATGAGTGGAGAGGTCCATCTTCCCCACAACCAAAAAAATTTCGACGATATCATTCAAGGGTCACACAAATGATGATCTTTGCTTATGATCACCAAGGAATCATCATGACAGACAGAGTTCCGTGCGGGAAAAGTGTCACAGCAGTTTATTATCGTGACTTTATGCAAAATCTGTGCAGAAAAATGCACAAAAACCGACCTCAGTTGCTCGAGGCTGGGCCAATCATTCTCCATGACAGCGCTCGCCCGCACATCGGGAATGTAACAGAAAAGCTGCACCGATACAGTTGCGAGGTGTTGCCTCATGCTCCCTACAGCCCGGACACGAGTCCACCAGACTTCGACTTATTCCCAAAGTTGAAACAACCTATGCAAGGCTGTTGTTTTCCCTCTCTGGAAGAGCTTTCTGCTGCAGTACCCGAGCCTTCGACAGATAAACAAAGATGGTGTCCTGGATGGAATAGTAAAACTTCCCACATGTTGGGACTCAGTCATTGAGAAGCAGGAGGACTATATTGAAGGACTGTAAAGAGATATTAAAAAAAATAAACATGGACGTAAACAAAAAATTGTGTGCATTATTTCTGAAATGACCTACATATGAAGAGTAAAATCATCTGAGATGATGTAGCATGGTAGGTCACCAGTGATCCTGTGAAGTGGTGAACTTCTGCCAAACTACAAGGTATTACATCCCAGAAGTTAATGACATTTTGTTTTATCAGCATTGATAGAAAATACCACTCTCACAGAGAGAAGTACTTCTTGACACATCAAACAAGAATTTACCTTTGATGTGTCAAATTTAACTATAAGAAGTCACAAATGTAAATAGAAAATTTCTCATGCTATATTTGAAGAAGTTTATATTTTAATGTAAAATGTTTATCTCTTTAGACATGTGTTGGTTTCTATGGAGATGGAAATTTCTCAGTGGATGAAGATGGTTCAGATAAATACTGCCGATGGTGTGGACAAGGCGGTACTCTGTATTGTTGTTCAACGTGTTCCAGTGCTTTCTGTAAGGTATGTGTAGGTGAAATATATTTTGTGAGATGTAAGGTTTTCATGGTGGTGACTGAGGAAAACTATCTTCTGGTATGTAACCAGTGTTCTGGTGGAACTTCTTGTTTCCATCTTCAGGGTTGGAGAGCTAGCGAACTAAGCATTCTGCTTGTTTGATTTAATCTTCAGCTTTAAAAATATAGACAGCACTTAAAAGTACTAAATTGTATCACCATGTTGTGTTGTATTTTAACTCTAATTTTTCCCATCAACACAACACTTTGCGTAGATGCGCTACATGTGACATGCATACTACACGTTTCAGTCTTTCGGCTAGCATCAATTATTGTACATTCCCTTAATTATTTAATTCACAGGGACGGTCTTGAAGTGCAACTTCTTGTCATGTAGTTACTATAGGATTCTGACGATGGTGTATAACACACTGATATATTGGGTTTCTGGACTTTATCCATCGTCCTGGTTTTTAAGATAAATAAAAACACGACATTTCAGAAACTGGATCTGTTTCCGTCCTCAGGTGAAGGAAAAGGGAAACACCTTCACCTGAGGACGGAAACAGATCCAGTTTCCGAAACGTCGTGTTTTTATTTGTTATCGTAAAAACCAGGACGATGGATAAAGTCCAGAAACCCAATATATCAGTGAACTTCTTGTCATGTTCGTAGACTGGTGATGTCCTATATTTCTTGCACAGCATGTTTCAACTTTAAAGGGTCATCATCAGGTAGATTATGTGTGTAGTTTCTATACTCTATTGTTTTTAGTTCATTATCCTAAAATGTTAAAGTTTTCTTAAAGTGAGTTCTGAATTGTTGGTGAATTTTGTTAAAGTAATTGAACATTTGTTTACTGATTTAATTGATATGTTTTGTAGCTAATACCCTGTAGCTTTTTGAATTGTAATGTGAATTAAGCCCATGAGTCTTGTTACGGGGTTGAGCAGTTGTGTTGTATATGAATTTGATGTTCAGTAGAACATATTTACTTTCTTTTCATGGCTGGTTACTCATATATTGTACATTCACTCTTATCTTGACTGCTGCTTCTCTACATTGGTTGGTGTTTGCATTCGGTGTATTGGTATATTTTTGACATTGAAGTGTGATGTTCCTATATAGATATTTTATTTAAATGCTGCATATGTTGTTACTTGTTTGAAAGTCTCATAGTTATAAAATGTTTAAATTTTCTTCTCCTGTATATAGATATGTTTTGGTTAATTCTATTGTGTTTACATAAATGCAGTACATGGTTTCCACTCGTGGTTTGGATGTATTTATAATGCTGTGGTGTAGGCTGTCTTTGTATTTGACATTAATTTTTGTGTTCTGATAGTGGAGTTCCTTTTTGGTTGTGATTTTGAATTTGTGAATGTTCTGTTATGGAGAGTAATTGTGTGAAACTGGTGCCGCAGAATGTTCCCCTGAAACACTGGTAAACTTCTAGCAGGCTATACAGCATGACATCCCAGAAGGTAGTATTTCTCATCAGTTATGTTGTTCACAGTCAGTTAAAATAAAGGAATGCTTTTTATCTGTACAATTCATATGTCATTCACGACCCTGTGATGTGCCTATGGAAAATACTTAGTGTGCCCATCTGTGTGAATGAAACACCTTGAGAGGTATTAAATACTTTTCATGAAGTTTGATATTGTGGAGTTACACTAAAATTTATTGACACATTCCAGTAATAATGATCTGTGGGCCTATAGTTTTATCTTACCAGTTTAGATATCTATTGTCTAAAAGGGAGTAGTTGCATGTGATTTTAATTTAATAACTGATTATTCACTTACCTAAATTAACGCACGATGGTTACACTTTCTTTTCTGATAAATGTTCTGAAGATTATGGGTGTTAGCATTCTGCCAAATGCTCCTGTTAAGTGTACACTGTTTACTTTTAAGTGTCATTAATTTAGCATGAGAAAATACCATCAAGATGTAGGGAATAGTTTCAACAAATAGTGATTCAAGTACTTGCTTATGCTGATGATGTTATTTTGCATAATCATAAATTCCATAAGAATAATTTGGAAAATTCTTTTAGAAGCTAGCAAAGGAATTGTTTGGAATTAAGTGTAAGTAAAACTTTAGTTATGTCTTGAAGTAAAAATGCAGCTTGATTTGGAACTGTTTACAAATTTACATATTAATTAACAAAAGTATTTTGGAAGTAAAATTAGTAAAAGAATAAATTCAGAAGTTGCTGGTTACTTTTCAGCTTAAAAGTAGTTATCATCCTGTCTTCTTTCCATAAAATTAAAGATTTGTATTATTTATTGTTTTGTATGATTCTGATGTATAGTTCCATAATATCAGGGACACGTGCAAATTTTCATGTGTTCTGAGACAGTCTCCTAAGATGAACAGTTGGACCTAAGAGACATCTTTTTTTTAAGTCACTTAACAATGCTGTCAATATTGAGACTGTGTAGCATCAATGACAGGATGATTAATGAGTATGGAGCAGTTGGTGGAATAAGAATTTGCAGGGGAAACCAAAGTACCAATAGAAAATCTACCCCAGTGCCACTTTGTTCACCACAAACCCGGCATGACATGACCTGGAATTGAACCTGGGCTGCCATGGTGGGAAGCTGATGACAAACTGCCTGAGCTGTGACACAGCTCAGAGATGAAATAGAGTGGAATTGGATGATATCAGAATTTTAATGTGGGAAACTTCTTGGAAATAGCCAATTTGACAAGTGAGAAAGAGCTTGAGTAATATTAATATGGAGTTTATAGATGTGATTTGTGTAAGTATGTGACCTGGCTTTGATATTTTTAATGATGAAACCTCAGGTTTTACTGCCAGAGATGTGATCGGCTAATTTTGGGGTTATGTATATTTCTTTGATTGAATTTGCTCTTATAGAGCTCAGTGATTCCACCAGTGTTGGAAGTACAGGATGTAGTTCTTGAATCAAGATGACTTCATCAGATCTCTTTTTCAGAACTAACTTCAGTTCTAGAAAAACAAAAATCATGCAGTGTAGATCATTTGGGGCAACAGTCATGCTATGTTAGCCAGAAGTTCCTGCAGAGTAGAAGCACATTCGTGAGGAGTAAAAAATTTCTTGTAGTGGGCTACTTCTCAGAATATTTTCACTGTACCTCTTGACTTAATCAATAGAGAACATATATGTATGGTTAGAAATCCTTATTCCCAGTTTTTCCCTGTGAGATACATTCACAATATATGATTTGATGAATGTTCAGGAACATGGATAGCCTGTTTCTGACACTGGAATGACTTTGTTTGGTCTTCTGCAGGTGCAGAGGTAAATGAGCTCTTCAACTGAGATGACTGTTTCTTTGTTTTATGGTTGTACCAATAAATCCATATTTGTAATCTGTGATAAGCTTCAAAAAGAATTGTTAGTTCCTCTAAAGTTCTTCCTGAAGGCCCTAACAGTGATATAATGCTACTTTTGCCCATCAGTGAACACATGAGGCACAAATTTTCTGGAAACCGATCTCATGTTCATATGTTGCGTTAGAATGCTTTGGCACAATCCAAGTGACATTCAAACTTCATTAGACGGGTCATGGATAGTGATATGTCTGTCTTCATGAAAAACTTCCTTGATTAACTTCACATTTCATCCATTTTGCTCTTGAATGGATATTCAGAACACTCAGCATTGTTAACAGATATCACTTGAGATCTCATAAACCAGTCAAGTGCTTGAGTTCTGATCATTGTTTCATCTCTAAAAGCAAGCTTGTAACATCTGACAGGTTTCTGTAGCCTGGTTTGGATGAAAACTTAATAAACATGGCTTTTCTTTGGCATATGCCATTTTCTGATAAAGTGCAGATCATACAACACATAGCTTTTTCACTGTCTGTTGCTTCTATGAAAGATGCAAGCTACAACTTTTAAGTGAAAGACCACTGGCTCAGAAGATTTTACTTTACCTCCACTTGGTTTACAACTTTTCTCCTGAATGTAGTAGTGTCATGTCATGACCTGTCCAGAAGTTAACTGGTCCCAGCCAAACAATTTTGCTGGGGGGGGGGGAATTGAGATTTAAGAAACAAAGAGTAATGAGAGGGTGGGGGAGATTATATAAGAAGCTTTATAATTTGCACTGTTTGTCTGATATTATTGTGTTAAATCAGAGTATAAGAGATGGTAAGACATGCAACATGCATGAGGAATGATAGCTTCAGACTTAGTTTGGTAAAGAAACCCGAGTCTAAATGGGAAATTAATGTTAAAATGTATCTTGGGAAAAATAGGGCATGTTTCATCTGGTTCAGGATAGACTTCATTGGCAGGCGTATGTGAATATGATAACCTTAGCATCAAACGGTAGGCAGATAGTGAATAATTAATTGGGAGGGAAGTGGAAAGAAGTGGGCAAGGCCAAATTGATTGTACTCTCCTGAAATTTACTTCAAGGGACTGAGGGAAACCATGAAAGATCTTGGTCAGGGTGGTTGTTATCTGGGCCAAGAATCAAACAAAGCACCTTTCAGTCACAAGTCAGAAGTGTTAGTGCTTTAGCTGAAGTGCTTGGTGAATTTGAGAAAGTGCACATCAGGTAACAGTTATGAAGAGAAATTCAGCTGATGGTTATTGTATTTTGTTCAGAAACTGTTCAGCCGGTCAGAGGTCAGCATTGACGCATACTTTATTGTGTGAATTGCTGCACAACTCACTCATGATTAGTCAGCTACGGGCATTTTTTGTCTTTGTGTTGAACTTTGCGGCATACAGTTTTGAATAGCATGTCTTTTCATTGAGAAATGCATGAAGCGGAAGAAGTGACAGATGTAAATTTGAACAGAAAGTGACATGAAAGTGAGGCCAGTGACAAAAGAAAGAGACAAATCATGTGTTGACCCAGAACATTTCCAGAATGTCAAGAGTAAAACCAAATTGGAAAAATTCACTGTCAGTTCTCCCAAGAAACTGGTGTCTCTAAAGCAACATTCTTAGTCACAACATATTGTTTGTGCACCATGTTCAACTTCAGACCCAGTTTCAAAATGTTAATTTTGTGACTGGCTTTTCAGAAATATTTTTGGTGGTATAATTGACCCTTAACATATTTTTATGATGAATGAAGCATGGTTTCTTCCCATTTGTTACATAAACTCAGATACTGAAAATGCACATTATCTGCCAGCCCCAGCCCCATTACATGATGAAAATTTTGGTGTTTGTGAACGAAAATTTGTAGCCTAATGGAAGAAGAAAAGAGGTACACAGATTTTGAGCAGGATGCTGCACCAGCAAATACTGCAGAAAAATCAGTGCAGGCACTATGGACTGTTTTTGATGAATGACTCAGTAGAGGAATGTAACTGTCATGTTCAGGGATCTAAATGTGTCAGATTCTAGTCTGATGAAAATGGAGTCATAAATTTGTGATTTTCATGGTTGTGGCTCTGAAGAATAATGTCTTCTGAAATGTGCCATGTAGTTTGAGAGACGCGTATTGGCGTTTCAGAGGAATGTACTGCCTGCATCTTCAGGCTTGAAGAACAAGCAAGCAAGCAAGCAGAAAGTTTGCAGAAATAGGCAACCTGAAATTGGTATCTTTACAGATGAAAATCTGAAATTATATTCTAGGAATCGCAGATAGTTAACCTCAGCATGTGCCATAGAATTTTTACATCAGTGTAACATGTGTCTCAGAGTTATACAATGGGAAGGCATAATGTTTTAATTATTACCATGAGAAAATCATAATTCCAAAATATCATGCTACATAGGAGATAGCCCATTTCCTGAGCTTGCCAAACAGTCAAATTTTCCTGCTCCAAGTAGATAGAGGGAGCCACCGGAAGGGGCAGAAGCAAAATGGCGACATCAGTTGAGAAAGTGGAGGCTCGCACTGTGATACCATTCCTGCATTTGCAAAGGAAGAGTGCCTGGGAGACTCACAACCAGATCACCACTGTGTATCAGGAAAGCATACCATCATATGGCACAGTGGTCTGGTGAAAGAGGCACTTTCATTGCAGACAGACAAACCATGAAGAGGAACCCCGAAGTGGAAGACCATCTCTCGCTAAGGAACCGGGAATTGTGGCACAGGTGGAAGCTTCAGTCCTATCCGATGGGTCCATAACTATCGAAGCTATTGTTCATGAGGTCTGCAGTAGCCATGGGTCAGTTTTCAACATCATCCATGACAAGTTACACATGACAAAGGTCGCTGTGCGTTGGGTGCCATGATTGTTGACACCAGTTCCAAAACAGCGATGGATGGATGTGACAAAGAAACTTTTACAGTTGTCAAGATGAAAAGGTGGAATTTTTTGACCGCCTGATCATGATGGATGAATGTTGTGTCTATCATTATGACCCTGACACAAAGGAAATGAGCAAGCAGTGGAAACATGCAGACTCACCACCACCATAGAAGGCCAAATCCCAGCCGTCATCAGGAAAGGAGATGTTGAGCGTGTTCTGGGATCAGCGGGGTTTCGTCATAACTGACTATGTGCAAAAGGGTGTCACCATCACTGGCAAATGCTACTGGAACCTTCTGAGAAAATTACGGGAGGAAATCAAGAAAAGGCAATGTGGAATGCTGGGAAAAGTTGTGCTACTTCTTCACGACAACGCACTGTCTCATGCTACTCATGCTACAGTGACACTTGCTGCCAGTTTGGGATATGAAATTCTCCCCCAACCACCATATTCACCAGACCTGATACCGAGCGACTTCTTCCTCTTTCCACGGCAAAAGAAACCACTTTGTGGTAAGCAATTCCAAGATGACGATGATGTCATTTATACAGTGGAGGACTTCCTAAACAGTCAAAATGAGACCTTCTATGATCAAGGTATCCAGCAGCTAATGCATCGTTGGGGAAAATATGTGGCCTTACAGGGGACATAAGTAGAGAAGGGCTAACTCACATACAGTTTCTTACACCTTTGTCTCTGTTTCTTCTGGGTGATAATTAAAACTTTATGACTTCCCCACATAGGTCACTGCATCCAGTGGCTCTTATGGTGTGAGGTAAGTAAAATGGTTATTCTGAACAATTTTTTGAGCGGATAGAATCCCTAGCTAAATTGCTTTCATAGGATTTGAGGTTCTCACATTGGTGGGTCTGAAGAATTCTGTAGTTTTGGATATAGTGCTATCTAGTCCATTGAAAGTCAACCAGCATGGAAGCAGATAGCAAACAGAAGTTCATCAACCCTTTACATATAGGTTGACTGACTTTTAGTGGACTTCACGGCATTATATCCCTGCAGATAGAACTCTTTTGAATTATTTTCATCTGAGAGAAGCTGATGACTGGCTGATGTTTCACTGTAGGAACAGTCGTTAATAAGGTTCTAAACTAAGGAATGAACCTTTCACTATGCAGACTGTTAATAAGATAAGATGCTTTATATTGTTCATGTTACTTGAGGGATAATGTATTAAGAATAAAATGTGAAGTACATCTTTCTTTCTGTAGGGTTTTCAGTTCACCTGGTGCTTCAAGAAGGCACAGGTCTTCTCTTCTTGCTTAAAGTTTTGGATTATGTTTTGAAAGTGTCACGGTATGGATGGCCCTGGGGTTGACTCAGCCTCTAACAGAAATGAGTACCAGGAATTAATTAAATAATTTTCCTAGGGAGTAAAGCACAGCCGGCACATAAGGCTGACAACCTTAGCACCATCTATGAGCTGATTGTCTAAATAATGTGAGACCCTCAATGTCTCACAACCCTGTGGGCCTTCATCGCCTATTACAGGGATAGCTTTACTTTTTTACTTTTACATGGTATGGATACCCATCGTAATTTAGCCAGTGTTTGTGTTTTTGAAAAACACTGCATAACATAATACGCATAAATACATGTTTCTTCTTCCTGCATAGAATCCATGTTAAGAATAGGGACAGTTTTTGTATGTGGATAATTCTCAGTTTGAAATTTGTTTCACGGAATTTTTTTAAATTGAAAAGTGAAGTCACATAAAAGAATTTTGATTGCGTAAATATGGCACGAGGTACTTCATTTCAATTAAAAATATTGTTTATTTGTATATAGCTTTTCACTGCAAACCTGTCTGAAGTTCGCGTAATTACACTAAATTATGGAGATTAATTTAAGGAGATGGAGAGAATAGGGTCATTCACAGAGGAATCCGTACATTATTGTCAACATTGATAATTTTTTATGTTTGTGTGTTTGTCTTTATGTATTTATATTTTTCCTTTTCTTTTTTTTTGAAATGTGTCACCCAGACATGGGATCATTGCATAATTAGATATTCTTAGGAATGAAAATTTTCTATGTATAAACATTTTCAGGATGAAGGTTATAAGTCATAATCTTTATTATGAAGCAGATATTTTTTTCCCCTGTTACAGAGCTGCATCAAACGGAATTTAAATCGTTCTATCCTCAGTGACATCGAGTCGGAAGATTGGCAGTGCTTTGTGTGCAATGGAAAACCCCTTTGGGAGCTGCGTGCTGTCTGTGTAAATGCTAGGGCATATTCTGAGAAGATTCGGAGGTATTTATTTAATTTTTGTGCTGTGCTTATGTAAAGGGTCTCAAACTCAAATCATAATATGGGCCAGGCAGATAATTTTGAAATATATTGCAGGGCAGACTTCTTTTTCAACAATAAAGTTAAGTATTTTGTTTAGAATTAAACACAATATGAAAATTGATCAATTACATTGTTATTGCATTTCACTGATTATGAGCTATGCTTTCTTTTCTCGACATTTTAAAATTTCTGAAATTGGGGTGCATCTTACATTTGATGCCATCTAAGGCTCAGTATGAACAAAATATATTGCTTCTGACTGAAGTGCATGGAAAATGTCTGTGTCCATGACACTAGGCATGGAACAGTAAACACTAAGGTAGCATCAGAGGAGATTTTGAAAGTATTTCTGTGTATGCCCATTGTTAAAAACATCATTGCATCTCACAGTGTATGAAGCACCTAATGGGGGCTTGGAGGCTGAAACTACCAAGTATTAACTAACATTCAGCAATATTACACCTGTGCTCATTGTTGCATCTTAAGTGTTGTTATCCCTGGAAACCTATTGCTAAATTTATGTGTTCTTACAATTGATGACATCTTAATCCATTGTTGTTAACAATGGCAGCAGAAGCGGCAACAAGAGCGACAACAGCGACAAGTGAAATTTACAGTGATTGGGCAAAACAATGGAAACATTACAGATACTGTACACATTTCTGTATTAATATGGTGTTGGACCAACCTGTGCCTTCAGTACAGCTGTAGTCCTTTTTGGAATGGACTCGTACAAGTTTTGAACAGTCTCTAGTGAAATTTTATATCATTCTTCTTCAAGAACATCTTCAAGTTGGCTTAGATATGTTGGAAGTGGGAATTTGTTTGTGGCTTGCTGTGTTGTGAANTCAAGATAGACAGGCGGCACAAAATCTGCCCCATACAAGAAGGATGATAGGAGTACGGACACGAACCTACGTGGTTTAAAAAAAAATTTTTAACTATTGACAATAAAGGTTTTTTAAATAACATCTAGAAACTTTTGAAAACTTTACAACACCAGGAAGCTGCTGTGATTGTGAAACGTTCGACTTTATGCATACTGTGCATTATAGGATATAAGTATATGTATTTTAAATCAAAACACCTATTGTGATGGTAGTTTCCAGTTTGTAATGATGTTCCCTCTGAAGATGGCCTGTAAGGACTGAAACATGTAAGGGAGATAAGTTTTAACGTAGTAAAAACTTACATGTCACATTGGACAGATTGGTTTGTATTTATAATAGTCTTAGTTTCTTTATACTTGGAATGCATCCCGTTGAAATACATTATAATTTGTCTCTCATTTATGCCAATTTGTTATATGCCAGCATATCCAGGAACCTAACCCCATCATAAATCAAGGGTTTCCTATGTATGTATATGCTTAAATAGATTCTCTTTTGTCTCCCTCCCTCCCACCTCGCTCTCCCCCCCCCTCTCACTCTGCACTTTCATTCTTCTTTGTCTGTCTGTTATTCCTCCTTCTTTCCTAGTATTTTGCCCTTTTCTATTCTCTTTTTGCTGTTACAAGCATAGAACTCAGAAGCATTTAATTCCTTTTTTTTTTTGTTAGAAATAAACAAAGAGAAAATCACCATAAACTTAAACAGATGCAAAAGAAACAAAAGCGGTTAAAATGTAAGTCACAGCAATCAAATCATTGGCAGAAGAGCTCCAGCCCTGACACCAGTTCTGATGATGACTCGTATTCAAACAAAAAGCGGGTAAGTTTATTTTTAAGGCATCATTATTGGCAGATAATGACGTACATAATAGTAGAAAGATTCTGAGCAGAAATGGATCGAGTTGTAATTTCATGGCATAGGAGTGATGAAAATCAATGATGAGTGATCAGGTTTGAATTTTAGGCAAAAATTTGGAATGCTAAATATATTGACAAAATTTGCTAGGTTTTTAGGTAAGCATGTTTTACTTATATTTTAATAGGCAACTGCTTCACATTTGTTAACCATCCTTTCATCAATGGTATATAGTCTGATACTGACATAGGATAATGAAACAAAAAATATTCACTATGAATGGGCAGGTAATTAAATTGTGCATGAGAGAATTATTGTTGCAGTGTTTATTAGTAACTATCAAATTCAGTTCCATTTTGAGCACCCGTGTATTCTCAAGTTTTGTAGAAAATTCTGGTTAAAGGTACCTGATATTTGAATCAGGAATTTATGATGCTGCAGAAGAAGAAAAAAGCAAGGAAGTGTACACATTGAACTTCAAAGGAAATAGGAATTTGTAAGGTGTATGTGTGAGAAGTTTATGAAAAACTGAGAAAGAAATCTTAAACTTACAATGTATCAATAATATTAAATCCACGTACATCTAATTTGGGATTAAATTTCTTGCTGAGTCACATAGACCATACAGAATAAGTTGTTTATGTAAGAGATGTCCTAGATTTCTCTGGTAAAATGAACAAAGCCTTTACTTTGTTAAAAGAAGAGGACTCAGTCCATCTCAGCACATTTCAATTTATTGTTGAGGTGGGTTATAATAAGGTAGATTGGAAAGACATTTTTTGTATCCTGATAGAACATGAATTCTGTTTCATTATTATTAAAATGCAAAAATTTGCATATAAATTCAAATCAGCCAATTGATGTGAAAGCCCTAAAAACGGATGTAGCTAGATGATATTTGGGGATAATGCTATGAAGAAAATAGCACTTTACAGGTGGGTGACATGTTTTTCTAAGAGAAGAGAAAGTGTCACTGATGAATAGAGATGAGGACGGCCAGCGGCGAGCAGAACTGAAGAAAGCATGAAACATGGATCAACCAGTACAACCCTGAAACAAAGTGGTGAAGTGCACAATGGAGGACTGCCAATTCTCCATGAGCAAAAAAGGTCCATCAGTCCAACTCAAAGAGTCCAAACAGTTTTGCTACATTTTTTATATTAGAGGGATTGTTCATTATGAGATTTTACTAACTGGACAAACAGTCAGCCGAGTTTATTATTTGGAAGTATTGAAAAGGCTGCATGAAAAAGTTAGATGGAAAGGACCAGAACTTTTTGTCAACAACTCATGTATTTTGCAAAACGACAGTGCACCTTCTCACGTGGCATTCTCTGGCAAAAATAACTGTGCTGGAACACCCTCCCTATTCACCGGATCTACCCCCAAATGACTTTTTTCTGTTCCTAAAGATAAAGGGAAAATTAAAAGGAGTGAATGTATTGTATGAAGGGTAGGCCTTCTTGGCCCCGGCACCGCCACCTACAGTGGTCTATCGTACTTAAATTAAAAGGAAGGCTTTTTGATAACATTGATGACTTGAGAAGTAACACAATGGCGACTCTGAATGTCATTCCACAAAACTAGTTCCAAAATTATTTTGAAGTGTGAACTAGGTGCTGGCATCAGGGCATAGCTTCCCAGGGTAGTAGTTTGAAGGTGACCACAGCAATGAAGTATGTAGCGCTTTTACTGTGATGAGTTCACGAACTTAATTGTCAGACCACGTGTATGTTGTTATAGTTGCCCATAATTCTGTAGTTACAGTCGGTTTCATAAAACAGTGAATACTAGCCATAACTGTGCTATGTTTAATTTAATACAATTTTACATTACTGTTCATTTCCAGGAGTCTTCCAAGAATAGACATAAGCAAAATAATGGTAGTCAGCTGGACTCACGAAAGAAACATGATGAGAAGGATAAAATGAAAGATAGTGATTCTGAGTGTGTCATTATGGACAAAGAAATAACTAAAAGGAAAATTGAATGTGTTCAATTATCTGATTCAGAGAGGAGTGAGAAGGAAGAAGAAAATGGATCTGTTGCACTTTCAGATTCAGGTGAGAACTCAGATAATGAAGAAGAGATCTCGGATAATTCCAAGAAAAAAGAAAGACATCAAGAAAAGTCTAAGCGTAGACTTAAACTGAATGTTAAAAAAGGAAAGCGCAACTCTAGGGTTGCTATGGGGACAGAAGAAAAAAGTAAGGCAAAACCAGAACAGGAAGCAGGACACTCTAATGGTGGAACTACAGAGGGCATTACAGACAAGAAACTTCCTAAAGAGTTAGATGAAAAGACTGCTAAGTTGGCTTGTGATTGGCTTGAAGAACATGGTAAAGAACTTGCTATTGTGGGTGAAACTCTAGCGCTTCGAGCACGAAGATATCTAGAGAAGAAAGTTTGTTTAAAGGCCATGACTGACCCAGAAAATGTAGATAAAGTAGTCAGCAGTTTGCAGTTGCTGATGAAACTTGCTGGAGAGAATCTGGAACAGATAGGGGGTTTCCTGTCTTTACACCACAAGTATTGGATTAAGCGGGTGATAAGGCATAGATCCAGTAAAACTTGTGCAGATGTAAGCAATAGTAATCAACGAGATTATGAAGGCAAGACCAAGAAATGTATAACAGAGCAGAGCAAAGATGGTGGAAGCGTGTCAGTGATTGGGTTAGGTGGTGAAGACGTTGGACTTAAGTCACATACTGAAAATCAGTATGATAATATTGGGATTGAAAGCAAGGAAACTGACACACAGGAAAGAGAGATTTTAAGTGCAGATTCTATTATGAGTACAGGAGTGAGAAGTGAGGACACTAAAAAAAGAAAATTAGTGAAAGAAGGGAGTGAGAGTGATGATAGGGAAGTGAATACTGTTGAAGATGAGGGAAATTTACAAAAATCAGTGATAGATAAGAAAAGAAGGAAGCTGGAAGATGTGTTGGAAATGGAAGCAGATCCCAAACTTGATATTACAGTGAATGACACTGAAAGTTCTGAAAACTGCAAGGGAGACAATGAATTTTCCATGAAGAGATCAAATGAACAAACTGATGTGGGACTGGAAGGTGTGTCAGAGGAGAAAACAGTGAAAGTTGTCTGTCCAGATGTAACTGAGGATGCTGGAAATATGGAAGTTGATGAAGTCAGTGAAAGGAAGATGGGCATGGAGGTTGATTCATCAGAGAATGAAGAGGCCACTGTTGCTGAACACAGTGTGAAAGACATGAATTTACTGCATGGAGCTGCTGATAAGGTGGTGCTATCGGAAACAAGCAATTCTGGTAATAGTAGTACTTTGTATGAGGAAGACAAGTTTGGAAAAAGTTTTGAAAGCGTATCTACATTAAGTTTTGTTGACCATAAAGATACCTTATCAGAATGTGTAGTTGCAGAAATTCATAATGCTCAAGATAAATCTGTTGATTCTATGGAAGAGGTAATGCAAGAAAATCAGTCCAAAAATTCTGATGAGCCGAATTATGAAAACTCAGATGCCGAAAGTGAAGGAAACAGTGCTGATGTGGCTGCAATAAGTGAAGGCAATAAAAATAAAGAGAATGAGAAGGTAAGTAACAATGAAAGTGAAAGTAGTGCTACGACAATAGAATACCTGTCTGGCAATGCATGTGAGAAAAGTATAAGTGGTGAGGTTTCTGACAATGGGAAGAATGAGAGAGTAAACTCTTTTGAATCTTTAGATGATGATTTGATGCCCAGTGTAAAGAGACAGAAGGTTGACAGAGAAGTTGACACTAATGAACACAATCTTGTAACTCTAGAAATATCTGATAATGTGGAAAATGATCCTATAGCTACAGCTCACGCTGATGTTTCTGCAGAAGATATAAAGGAACTGGAGATACAGAAGTGTATAACAGAGAAGAATGAGTATAGTATTGAGACAAATAAAATGGATACACATGAAGACCTGGAAAAGGATAGTGAAAAGGAATGTGGTGAGAAAGAGAAATTGGAAAGTGATGATGAAGGAGAAAGTAGTGATAAAGTTAAATTAGAAATGAGTGATGTTATGTCAGAATGTGAAGGACAACAAAAGGGTGATGAGAAAGATAAAGTAAAACTAAATGAAGAAAATAAAAGTAGTGATGTAGGTGAATTAGAAATGTGTGATGATATATCAAAATGTGAAAGTGAAAGAAAAGATGGTGAGAAAGTTAAAGTAGAAATCAATGAAGGTGAAACAATAGGGGAGAATATAATAAAGGAAGGAACTGTAGTTAACTTTAGGTACACAGAAGAGTGTATAAGGGCCCAGCAAACTCTTCTTGAATACACAACCGATGATGATAGTAGTTGCACAGATACAACTGTTAAAAAAAAGAAAAGAAAGGAACACTCAAGGAAAGCAAAGCAAGAAGGAATTGCTACCTGCAAAGATATAACCTCTGTGAAGAAGCGGGTCATTGGTCCAAAATCTCGAACACAGAAATACAGGGAAAGTACTTCCTCTTTATCATCTGAAACAGATGAATCAGAATCTTCCATGGGAAGACAACATAGAAATGTGGACAAGGGTAGGAAGAAGAAGTTCAGACTGAAGGACACAGAGGCATATAAACAGGATGAAAAGTTAAGATGCAATTGCACAGTAAATGTGGAACATCTGCCTGATGAAGTGTTCCAGAAACACTATGAACAGTACTACAGTGATGGAGATGAAGAATCTGAGAAGAATATCGGAGGAGATAATGAAATAGACAGGTAAGATTAATTCTGATTGATTACAATCTTCTAGCAATGATGTATGTTCAGTTATACTGCAGTTGAAACGTTATTGGCTGTCAGGCATGCTAATTCATCGGCAGAATTCATATGTGCCTCTCAGCAAGCGGTGCACTGTCCACCGTGAAGTGAAGAGCCATGGACTCAATCCACAAACTAAAAATCTTCCTTGTATTTCCATACCTGTATTATTTGTTGAAACCATACTAAATAAAGGTAAGGGTAATACTATTCTTGTAACATTGTGTGGAGGCCCAAAGGGTTATGAGATGTCAAGGCTCCCACATTTTCTAGACAGCGCAGTGATGGCAGTGAAGTTTGCCACCCTTACGCATCATCCGACCTTTCCCTCCAGGGAGGTTCCTGGTACCATTTCTGTTAGAGGCTGAGTTGACGCCAGGGCTGGAGTGATTAGGTCAGTTGAAAAATCTGTATTTCACAGAAACTGGTATGTGTAATTTTGAAGTTTTAGTCTTTCACATAATTTCTGATAAGGTGAAGGATTCCTTTTGTCTGGTTTATTTTATGTACAACATTTTTTAACCTGTATAACAATTTCCTTTACAGCCTGACATATTGGCAGTTTTACTGTACCATTGTGTTGTTAATAATTATGCAGTTCTCCCCCAGATTTTACTTTTGGATCCATTAGAATGTGACATGTGTATGTATACATTCATTTTGTGCTTTGTTTAGTTCTGGACCTTGAATCTGTATTTTTATCACAAACAGCCATGGATGCTGATGCACCACAAAATACACAAAGGCACACATGCACGCACTTGCCCCCATGCATACACACACTCACTCTCCAACCCAACTCGCCACCACCCAAATTGGACTGAAATATTTGAAGGAAAGTAGTAGGTGTTGGGTGGCATAGTTCAACTTGTATTGAAATAAATTCTCCCTAATTATTCTTGAAAAAATCTTATTTCATCATATTTGGCATTTAGAAGGATTTTTCCATGGGTGTTTAGTATCTCCATTAAAAAAATTATATTTATTTTTTACTGACATCTTCTTGGGGGATCAGCCATGTTATTGTTAAGAGCCAACATTGACATGGCTGATCCCCCATAAGATTCTGAAAGCTTCAGACTCTATATATTTGTCATGTCATTGTTCACAGTTTGATCAACTTGAGGTCACTGAAGAAGGCTAGAGCAAATAAGTATGACACGGGAGACAGTGATGCAGAAGATTCAAGTGATGTAGGCACGACAGAGGCAAGGAGAAGGCCCAAGAAGAATAAGAAGAAGGAAGAGGAGCAGAGGTTGATCGATTTCTTCAACCAAATGGAGGATGCTGATGGTAAAATATTGTCATATGTTAGTGACTAGACATGGTTTGGATTGATTATGCAGTGTATTTGATGCTTGAAGTTCCTAACTCCAAATACTTCTAACACTCTTACTATTCTACACACTCTACAGATAACTGCAGTACACACTAAGTCTTCTTGGCTTGCCATGTCTTCACTAGTTGTTTCTTGTTAGCAGCTTCTAACAATGGAGATTCCTTCTCCCCTGTGCTCTTGGCTAACTTTCAACTATGGATGCTGACTCATAGGGGACTCACTTGTCTGTTGATCCTCATTATAAGCCTCAGCACTGATTGCATAGAAATCACCACCCCTAACTATACCTCTGTTGTTGTACATACTGTCGCGTATCGGGCGTATATCGCGACAAATAACTTCACGATGTATTTGATGTAGCGAATTTTATTTCACACTCGCACTTACAATCACCCAAATTACAGATTTACGGTTACTGCTATCTGCAGTATCACAATTAGTACACTCCAAATGCCAGAATACAACTGACTAGTTGCTGGCTAACTCGGCGGTAGCTCCAGGACTCACTGACTGACTCAGTACAACTGAAGTCGCCGACTGCCACAGTAGAACTCTGCGGTAGCCACATTAGAACTGAACTGGTAGCTGCTGTGAAGCTCACTTATATAGCTGCAGTGCTTGCCGGTTGCGTAATGAGTGCCACGTCACAGTAGGAAGTTGATTACGGGTACGTAGCATTGCGCGTTACGTCAACGCGGAGGGGAGTGGCGGGGTGGGAACTCGCCTATTACCGTAGTAACGCGAGCGTCACGTTACCGCCACGTACCGCTGGGGAGGTAGGGGTGATCCATAGCTCAACATGTCACAATACTATATCTGTTGCTGTAGGAATGTGTTTATCGAGTAAGTGCGTGTCCTTTCTGGTTCCTCTGTTCTGGTTTTCAGCTGTCATGTCACAATAATTTCCCAGAGAACAGTAATTTACCATGTTTAGTCACATTAGTGCTACATTTTTCTCAGTTTCTAGCATACTTCCCTTATTTTGAAGAAAACAGGTAGGCTTGTGAGATCACCTTGCTGTGTGTCTGTTTGTATATCTTCCATAATATAATAAATTTTGAATGCCTGAGCATGTCTTCATAGAACTTGGTGTGTCTATCATGCTACCTAAAGCCATCTCAATGGTGTGCTTGTAGCCTCTTAGATTGTTGAGCCAAAATCTTAATATTGCTTGAACACTTATACCAGTCATCATGATATTGGTATTGTGACATATTTGCTCAAAGCAAGAACCATGGAGCCAGAGAAACAACCATTACTACCGAATGGCTCTGAAACAACATTTGTTTCTAGGCAACGGTTGTGAAACAAACAGTGGAACCATGTCCATTGCTACGCAGCAGATTCTTGATAAGCAACAACTGAATAGCAACAGAGGAATCGTGTTTTCTGTCTCGTCTGTGCTGAGATGTTATAACTGGACAGTTTGGAGCAACGAGTTCAGTTCTCAATTGAAAGTCAGGCTGTGAAGAGAAGACTAGGATGTTGATGTGAAATGGTCTACAGCCTGGGAGTTATGCAGTTGAAGCACTGAGACAATCTAAGGACGCCTGTGACGAGAAGGCTTAGTTGGTGCAGTTTGTGCAGAATCGGAAGAATCTCCAGGGTGTTAAAATCTGTTGCCCAGAAACAACTATTGAAAAGTGAGAAGACTTTATGTGCGCTGTATTTATAGTGATATTTGTAGTATGTAGATTGTAAGTAGGGTTATACTTATTTGTGATTGCAGCATTTAAGTACTGAATAAATCCACTCTTCAATTCGAAATCCACGTCGAGAGTCACTCTTAACACATGGACTGTACGAGGTCTGACAATAAAGTTTGCGAACTCCCCACTATGTACTTGCCAAGGCAGCAATGGATAGAAACCTCAGTATGGTCTGATGACATTAGCATATCAGCATTACACAGCTGTGTTGTTGACCTATGGCAGGCTCTTTCTTATTTGTATGTGTTGTTATCTGTGTTTTGGTGCGCTGTTGCGAGAATGTCAGAGCTTCTTGTTAAACTTGGCAAGAGGGAAGCGAAATGAGAGAGATGTTGGTTGAAGTTTACAGGAATAATGCTAATAAAAGAAAACAGTAGTTTACATACAAGTGGGTGACACGTTTTCCTGAGGGAAGAGAAAGTGCCACTGATGAAGAGAGGTCAAGATAGCCAGCAATGAGCAGAACTGAAGGAAACGTTGCAGAAGTTAATCAGATTGTGCGTGAAAATTGTCAGCTGACTGTCAGGAGCATAGCAGAGCAAGCGATCATTGACAGAGAAACAGTTAGGAAAATCTTAAATGAAAAGCTTGACATGAGGAAGATGTGTGCAAAAATGGTGCCAAAGGAGCTCAACAGAAGAACACTGTCTGTGACGGAGTTTCAGCTAGTAAACAACTGTGCTGGAACACCCTCACTGTTCACCAGATGTAGCTTCCAGTGACTTTTTTCTGTTCTTCAACATAAAGGAAATATTGAAAGGATTGGTCATTGAAAGGATGTCATTGATGACATCAGGAGTAATATGATGGCAGCTTTGAAGGCCACAAAACCAGTTCCAAAATTGTTTTGAAGGGTGGAATAAGCAGGCGCATAGCTTCCCAAGGGGAATACATTGAAGGGAACCACAGTGATATTCAGCAATGAGGTATGTAGCACTTCTACTGTGATGAGTTCACTAACTTTCTTGTCAATCCACGTATTATCATTCCACCTGAGGCCATCTCAGCAGCATACGTAATGAATCCCTCCCATCAGTAATACCAACATCTAAGCCTCCCAGACTGTGGAGTAACCATAATATTACTTGAATGCCAGAACTTATCATCATGACACTTGGTATGCATATTGTCACCAATAGGGGGGTTTGCTCGTGACTTACGACAAGATGGGTTCTAGACTGGATTCTCTGTCTTCACTAGTTTTCTTGACTTTCCATACATTACAATTCTCCATATGATGAAGCCCCAACTATTCCATTTATTAATTCACAACATTATTGGACCTCCTACACAATTTTATAAGAAACTCGAATTTACTCTTCGTCAACAGAAATGTATGAAACGTAAAACCAATGATCGATTCGATGTTATTAAACATCAGTCAGATTTTAATTTTATATATGACTTGTTATTGTTTTAAATAACCTACTTATTGTATTCTTGTACAAATTAACTTAAATGGTTTATAACATTGTATCAAATTTTACGTACTGCAGTTCAATGGTGTACGTTTGTTGAAGTGTGTTTGCCCGATGATGGCCACTCGTGGCCGAAACATGTAGCAGAACTATACTGAGCATTGTCCTTGAAGTTCTATATTTGCTGTGTTGTGACGGTCAAATAAAGAAGTTGTATATATTGTAACACAGCAGGATGCATGAAATTAAAATTATCAGGTTCTTTTTACAGAGACAGATAAACAGCATTAGAGATCTATCTAAGAGACTACAGATCTTAACTTTTCCTTGTGAATATATATATTCATTAATAAACTTCATTACAAATAACAAAGAACATTTTCAGATGAATGCAGATGTACACAGTTTTAGCACAAGACACAAACACTGTCTTCATAAACCAAATGCTAACCTCTCATGCTGTCAGAAAAGCGCATATTGTGCTGGGATCAAAATTTTTAATAACCTGCTGTCTGATCTCAAAGGTCTTATGAATGAAATAGACCCGATTTAAAATAGCACTGAAACGATACTTAAATACACATTCATTCTACTCTGTTGATGAATACCTGTTGTCTGGAAAATAACTTATGTATCTTTAAATATCCTTGTGTGTAGTCACCATGTATTCTTGGTTTCTCTTGTGTGAGAACTCCATTGGGACTGTACATATGTTTTGTATTTATATGACATATTCCACATCCTACAGTCATTTTGACTAACTTTGGATCCATGGAATGCAATGCAATGTAATGTAAAACAATATCTGTATGGACATGTGGCAAGTGGGTTTAAAATTATTCTTTTGGGGAGAATATAAGTGTAATTGAGATCACATTTTAAGCTAGCATTTCAGTTAACACCATTATTTTGCTGATTATGTCTTTCACAGATGACAGTATGAGTTCAGGTGCGTCTGATTCTGAACAAGAGGCCATAAAAGCCTTGAAAATAAAGAAGAGCCTCCTTGAAAAGGAAAATGAAATGGCAATGAAGTTGTTGCTTGGAAGTTCCACTGACGATGACAATGGTAAGAAGTAACAGTCACTGGAACTCACATAATTTGTGTAACACCTTGATTATTCATATTCAGGTGAAGCTGTATCATCAGGACATAAGTTTTCTTTTCACCACAACCTCCACCCTCTGGCAATTACACCTTCTGGGATCACTTTCCACAACTTTATGTAATTAAACTTGCCCACTTGAGCTGTTAGGCCTCTCACATACCTCTTATTATGCTGTTTGGCTGTCATGGTGTCAGACAAGTTACAGTGTTATTTTTTGAGCCCACTGTTTCTGGTTCCTTGATCCTTTCACATGTAGATTATTCTCTTTGGCCAATGTAGGTAGCATTTTCATATATTACTCGTAAAGTGGCCTCCGTAGTCTAGGGGTAACGTTCCCACCTCATGACTCAAGGTATGCAGGTTGAAACCCAACGAAGGTCGTGGAATTTTTAAGGGCGGAAAAATTCAGGGAACCAGTCCTCCGGGAGGGACTTTAAGCCGTGGGTCCCGTGTCATAGATTTATGGCACGTAAAAGATCCTCATGTCTCTAGGAGACCTCTGAGCAAAATTAGGCAAAAACTTTCCCGCCCAAGTAGTTTCCAATGCCTCTGGTAGATGGGGGAAGCATCGGGTACCGAGGGCCGACTTGTTGGCTGAACGGGGCTGATAGCACGCACCAGTACTGGTAGGGTATGGCGACTGGTAGAATATCAAAGGGGGACGTACAATAGGCTATTAGTCGCGGTGCATGAGGAAACCCACCCCCTCCAATAATAATAATAATAATAATAAATATATTACTCGTATATTATCATATGTTAGTGAGTAGACGCAGGGTCTGAATTGATAATTGGATTTATTGAGCACCTGTAAGTGATTTCAACAACTTCCCTAATTAACACACATGTAAATCACTACGTGATCCTAGCCCTGTTGAGGTTGCAAGTGCTATTGCAAAATTGAAAAGGTATAAATCGCCAGATAGTGATCAAATTCCAGCAGAACTTTTTAAGCAGGAGATGAAATATTATGTTCTAAGATCCATAATCTAATTACTTCTATTTGGCATAAGGAAAAATTGTCTGATCAGTGGAAGGAGTCTATTATTGTAACAGTTGACAAGAAGGGTGATAAAGCTGGCTGTAGTAATTATAGGGGTATATCATTGCTCTCAAATTCATACAAAATTGTATCCAATATTCATCTCTCAAGGTTAAGTCCAGGCATAGATGAAATTATTGGGGATCATCACTGTTAGTTTTGATGTAACAGATCAACTACTGGTCAGAACTTTTTCATTTTTTCATATATGAAAAAAATGGGAATACAGTGAGATAGTACATCAGCTAGCCATAGACTTCAAGAAAACCTATGATTCAGTTAGGAGGGAAGTATTGTAAAATATTCTGAGAGAGTATGGGGTACCCATGAAACTAGAGAGGCTAATTAAAATGTGTTTAAACGAAATGTATAGTAAAGTCCATATAGGTAAACATTTGTCTGATAAATTTCCTATCCAGAATGGTCTAAAACAAGGAGATGCTTTATTGCCACTGCTTTTCAACTGTGCTTTAGAATATGCAATTAGGAAGGTCCAAGGAAACCAGGTGGGACTGAAAATAAATGGGACACATCAGCTGTTGGTCTGTGCCAATGATGTGGATCTACTGGGTGATAATATGGATACCATAAAGCAAACACACAAACTTTAACTGATACAAGTAAGGAGGTTGGTCTAGAAGTAAACACAGAGAAAACTAAGTGTATGTTGCTGTCTCATCACCAAAATGCAGGGCAAAATCATGACATAAAGATAGGATACAGATGTTTTGAAAATGTGGCACAGTTCAGATATTTGGGAACAACAATAACACATCGAAACCTGATTCAGGAGGAAATTAAGAGGAGATTGAACTCGGCTAATGCTTGCTACCATTCAGTCCAGAACCTTATGTCTTCTCGTCTCTGTCCAAAAACAAAAATGAGAATACACAAAACTAATTTTGCCTGTGATTCTGTGTGGGTGTGAAACTTTGGACTCTGACATTAAGAGAGGAACGTAGACTGAGGGTATTTGAGTACAGGGAGTTGAGGAGAATATTTGTACTGAAGAGAGATGAAGTGACAGGAGGCTGGAGAAAACTGCATAATGAGGAGCTTCATAACTTGTACTTTTCTCCAAGTATAATTAGAATGATCAAGTCAAGGAGGATGAGGTGGGCAGGGTGTGTAGCACAAATGGGGGAGGACTATGTATAGGATATTGGTGGGAGAGCCAGAAGGAAAGAGACCACTGGGAAGACCAGGGCTTAGGTGAGTGGACAATATTAAAATGGATCTTGGAGAGATAGGATGGGATGGAATGGATTGAATTGATCTAGCTCAGGATAGGGACCAGTGGAGGGCTCTTGTGAACACGGTAATGAACCTTCCTGTTCCATAAAATGCTGGGAAGTTCTTGAATAGCTGCACGGTTGGCGGCTTCTCAAGAAGAGCTCAGCTCCATGATTGAGTGAGTGAGTGACCATGACACCTTACAGCTATATGTCAGTGTCCATACTGCTCCTTCAGTGCTCCAGCAGTTTCCACTGTGACCTCTTCCTTAGGGTGCTTCCTCCATTTCTTCTGGATATAACTTGAAATCTTTGTCCTGCGTCTTTCCTGTACAGGCCTTAATTTTCTCTAGCTAGGAGTCTACCCTGGCCATCATACTTTCATGATGGGCATCTAACTTGGGCAGCCTTCTTTCAGGAATTCTTGGCTGGTTCTCATTTCCCTTAGCGTGAGTGTCTTCCATCTTTTCCTGATAGGCTTCCACCTTCTCTTCAATTGTGAAAAATACACTAAATATGATTTTTTTTTTCAAATATACACTCTATGTTTCAGCTGTCTCCGTTGAATAGTCAGTTCTGAAATGTTATTCTTTGTTGAATAACGTATATAGTGTCATTTGTTTTACTTGTTTTCCAAGCAGATATGATATAAAATTCATCAGTTCTCAAAAGTGCCTGTTGATTAACTCTGGCAAGTCAGGAATGCTGCTAAGGAAATGGTGGTGCACACTGGTCTGAAAACAACCGTATTTTCCAGTTTTTGGCTGCCATTGCTCTTTCCAGATATGTTAGGAGCTCCATCAACACTGCACATGTTATTCATGCACTGCTGTTATGTCTCTGTGTTCATGGCAGGGACTTCACATGCTTGAAGCACCTTGGTTTCTCTGACTTTCTAATTACCAGCAGTGGCACATATTCACTTCATCTAGATTTGCACATACAAGCACAGTAGTTCAATCTTTCATTCCTTGTGCCAGCATGATCATGATGATTACTTCTTTTGTTGGTGTTGCACTTAATCTTGTGCATTGCGACAAAGGACTAGGATTTGTAAAAGTTTATTTTTTTACAAGGTTCTTGTGAAAAACAAGATGAACTTGAGCAAGAGAAAGAGAAAGATAAAAAAGCTAAAGTAAAAACTGAAGATGTTTCAAAAGAGGAGGAGGAGGAGAAAAATAAAACAACAGAGGCAGACGCTGATCCCTTAGATGATGATATTTCATCAAGTGATTCTCAGGTAATTCCCAAAATCTCTGAATATAAATTAAAAGCTGATGTCATGTAAATGTATGAGGTGATTTATGAGTGTTAAAGAGTCTGTATGTCTTTCAGTTTGATAACTCTTCACTTCCTTTTGTTGCCACTGGCAATATTCATTCATTGTGGCTGTTACAGCAAATTAGTATGTATTACATAATTTTGTACAGCTGTTTTCCTTTATTGTTGTATGAATAAGTTCACCTTGAGAGTTACGGTTAATAATGCTATATGCGTTTGCTAATGAAACTTTTGCAGAGGTATCAGAATTATGGGTTTTAATACTAGTGGTTTTGAAATGTCAGGTTCTGCTACCATAGTGCTAGTTTAGTATGTAATAAATCTGAGTTAAGAATAAATATTAAGAATATTGCTTTACCTTTGTATATTGATAAAATTTGATAATGGTTAAAAGTCAGAGTTTCCACTTCCACAGGGTGCATATATAGAAATGTATTTCATAAATAAAATTAATAAGAGGCTTGCAAGGAAATAAATACCTGTTTATTCTACCCTTACTTTGTTGATGAAAAGGAGTTGGGCGCTCATCCACATGCTTATTTTCCCACACACCATACTGATTCACTAAGTGAAGTATGTAGTATGTGGTAATGTAGCAATTGGGGACGTGTATCATTGTTTGTTTACAGATATGATGCACATGAACAGTTAACGTGTATTGTCTGGCATTTGTCTTGGAAAACAAATGCTATTATTCTGAGACTTACATGAAAAATGAAGTAGACTGTATGGGCAGAATTCAGTTTTTTAATGTTTATAAAGCAGGTGGTGCTGTGCTTTAGAGGGTTCGAAATATGAGTTTCCAGTACCATGTGTTATAAAACAGTAGTCATTTGAACATTCTTGTAAACTTGCATTTGTACTTTTAACATTTCTCCTATACTCAAATAAAAATGCGGCAGGATCACATCATCACATTTTTCTTAACTCTTTTATGTCAGAAAGCCTTAAAACAGAAGAAGGAGGACTGGCGTAAAAATAAACTGCTGACAGAGAGGCTTTCAGACCTGGATACAAGTGATGAGGAGCGACGATGGAAAACAAAGAAGGAGAAGGAGCAAAAGGAAACTGATAAGTAGGTTCTTTGCAGTGTGTTGTTTGTTAAGTGGCTCTAATTTCTAAACATTACGCCAGGGTTATATGTTTTATTCCATAAGTGCCTATGACACCATGAAAAAGAAATTGGTTGCTTGTATAATTTCAGTTTTGCTGTATGGTTTTGGAAGATGAATGATTATGAAGGATGAATTGGATAGGATAAACAGAAGCAGTCTTGTCAAATTTTAAGTGAAACGTTTCATATTATTTTCAAAGATTTGACAAAAACTGTCAAAATCTAGATGTTATTAAGTCTCAGGATTTGATTATTTAAATATCACACGTGTTAAGATAAGGGTATTGTAAATATTAAATGTAAAATTACAGTGTTTGTGCATGCATGCAGAGTGTATCTTGACAGGCTGAATTCAGCTTTCCTGACTGGGGAGCTGAATGTACTTTAAACAGTAAATGGGTCGTCAGAGATGCCATCAGCTCATTACTATGCAGTTACTTTTTTTTTTCTTTTCTGGCTGTGACTGCACCTATCATGACTCACTATAATACACGTCAATTTTCTTCATGTTTATTTTCTCGTAATGCAGTCAGAAATCTCATTTACAGCATTGAATTGAGATGGTGAAATGTACACTTGAACAGTGGGGTTTTCTGTAGAATACTTACGTGAACGCATTTTTATAACTGTTTTTTGTGGGCAGAACATGATGGTGTTCTTGACCCAAAACTTGCATTTATACCAATTAACCATTGCAATGGCCATGTTAATGCTCAGAATAGTAGGTACTGGAGCAGTATTAATATGAGAGACACTTGGAATATCCCTTCACGGTCAGAAGATTGATGTATAACTTTTCATTACTGCTTCATGAATAGTAGGGACTCGTATTTTTTTAACAGATTATTAATGCAGAGTGGTATATCAGTTATATTCATGACTTTTTGTGGACACTATTATGGAAATGGAAGAAGCATACAGGTATTGTATGCATGATGGTGCTACAGCACACATTACTATTTATTCCATTAATGTTTTAAATGAGGTATCAGAATACAGACTTACAAGTTGCAAATTTTGGCCTGTGAGGTCTCCACACCTAAATTCCTGTGATTTTTATCTGTGGTGAAACCTATAAGACACGGTATTCAAATTCTCACACACTGGATCAATTTATGTATAGGATGTGTGAAACAGCTGAGGTAAGTGAACTCAAACTAGTGTTATACATCCTTTTCAGGTGTCTTGAAGTTTGCTCAAGAGCAGAAGAGAGATGTTTTGAGGGGATGTTGTGATCATGAGCTCATCTAAACATTTATTAGAGAAATGCATGTCCACGTTTACAGTGCACAACAAATTGGCTGGGACTCAGACTAGTTTTTTGGCATATTATGGCTACCTTCAGTCTCTGTTCTTCCATCAATGTCAGAGGCCTAGTTTCATATCCATACATAACCACAGGCAGAATTATAGTTCTGTATATATTAATTTTTAAATTTTCTGACACAGGAAAGGAGACAGAAGGGTCTGAAGTGAATGATAGTAAGCGTTACTTGAATTTAATTTGCTCTTGGTTTCTTCATGCGCCAAGTTTTGATTTTTATTATCATTCCTAAATATCTGAACTTTGCCACATTTTCAAATCATCTCTTATCTGTCTTATGATTTTGTCCTGTTTTCTGGTGATGGGACATCAACATGTACTTGCATTTCTCTGTGTTTACCTGTAGACCAAACTCTCTACTACCCTCAGTTAGAGCTGTGTTTTTCTGTATGGTACGAGGGCTGTTAAAAAAGTAACCTTCATTTATTTTTGACAACTAATGTAGGAGCAGGGTAAAGCTTGCACATGCAAGGTAGCATCACAACTCACTGCCTTGTGAACCATCACATAACTCATCACCTAGTGTTTGTTTTTGCCTCTGCAGAGTGAGTTATGATGTGTTATGTGACTGATAATTCCATTATCCACTTTCTTTACGCTAAAAACATAAGTGTTGTGGAAATCCATCTTGAATCAAGGGCAGTTTATGGCCAAAGTGTAATTAGTGAAGGAAGTGTAAGACAGAGGTGTAGAATGTTTGAAGATGGGTGAACTAATGTTCATGATGAAGAGCAATGTTTTGGGCCATCTGTGAAGAGTGCTGTTGTTGTTCAAAGTGTTGACCAAAATCTTTGTGAAAAATGGTGCTTCACAATTTCAGAACTTTCATGTGAATTTCCACAAATTTCACACACTGTTCTCTACAAGATTATCACAGGCTAGGCTATCATGTATTGTGTGCAAAATGGGTTCTGAAAGTGCTCATGGCTGCCCATGAAACACAGAGAATGGCTTCAGCTCTGAATTTTTAGACCGGTACCACAAAGATGGCGATGGATTTCTCAGTCACATCGTACAAGTAACAGGTGATGAAATCTGGGTTTCATTTGTGAATGTTGAAACGAAAGAGCAGACAAAGCATTGGATGCACACACATTCACCAAACAAGCCAATAAAGTTTAAACAAACATTGTCTGCCTGCCAGAAAGGTGATGGCATCTGTTTTGTGGGACAGAAGAGGAGTGCTGATGGTGGAATTTATGCAATAAGGGGCCATAATAGTGTCACAAGTGTATTGTAAAACACTGAAGAAGCTGTGTAGGGCCATTCAGAATGAAAGGTGTGGAATTCTAACATCTGGTGTATCACTCCTCTATGACAGTGCATGTCCTCATACAGCTGCTTGCACTCAAGCACTCCTGGAGCATTTCATTTGGGAGTTGTTTAACCACCCTCCTTACAGCCCCGATCTCGCTCCGAGCGACTACCACCCGTTTACCTGCCTGAAGAACTGGTTGCAATGAAAGCACTTGAACAATATGAGGAGTTGTTGGAAGGTATCAAAACATGGCTGAGCTCACAGGTGGCAGACTTAATGACACAGGCATACAAAAACATTCCTTGATATGACATGTACCTCAATTCTGGCGGACACTCCAAGCATCTACCACCTCTTTACCTACCTAAAGAACTGGTTGCAATCAGAGTGCTTCAACAATAATGAGGAATTGATGGAAGGTGTCAAAACATGGCTGAGCTCACAGGTGGCAGCCATATTTGACACAGGCATACAAAAACTTGTTCCCTGATATGACAAGTGCCTCAATTCTTGGAGTAACTAATTTCAGAAGTGACATAAGTATGTATGTACTTTTGTATGCAATAAATTTCTTTTTCTCACTGCTTGTTTTCTTAACAGTTCACTGGAGGTCACTTTCCAAATAGCCCTCAATTATGGTATTTCCTAATAGATTTATATCAGCATAGGCCAGAACTGATATGGCCTATTTAATTTCATTTCCTTGGGGTTTACTTGGACCTTTCTAATGGCATACTACAGTAGAGTTGAAAAGTAAAGTTGAAAACAATAGCAGTAAGTCATCTCTTTCTCGTAGACCATTTTGAATAGGAAATGTATCAGACAGACTTGTACTTATACAGACTTTACTATAGGCTTAATTTAAACAAGTTTAAAAAATTCTAAGTAGTTTCATGGGTATCCAGAACTCGGTGAAAATATTGTACAGTACTTCCCTCTTAACTGAATCGTATAGTTTCTGGAAGTCTATGAATAGGTGATGTACTGTCTCAGTCTACTCTCATTTTTTCTCCAATATCTGACAAATGCAGAATAACAGGTCAGCAGTTAATCTGTTACACTGAAACACACACTGATGATCCCCAATAATTTCTTCTACAAATGGTCTGACCCTTGAGAGAAGAATATTGGATAATTGAACATGTGTTGTATAGATACAATAACTCTTTTGCAGATACTATATTTAACTGGAGAAAAAAGGTTAAACATGTAGATTTTTTGGAATTACTGTGCTGATAATTGTAATTGAATTTTTCGTGATTTTTCCAAATTTTAAAACAAATAGATTCATTATATGTGTTCTGGATGCCTCAAATATGTAACTCTTTCCAAATCACCATTGGTTATGAAGTTTTATTGCAAGATGTGTGATACCATGTTTACATTGTAACATGAGGATTGGTATGAACCTTACAGCATGTATTGGTGTAGGTTATGATCTGCCATTAAGAAATTAATCAACCTCTCTTCACTTGTAGTGATTCTGAAGAGAAGAGCAGGTGTGAAGAGAAGCCCAGGTAAGGTACAAATTTTATGGTAACTGCTGTGCATGATTCTTGTTTCAACTGACATTTCTTTTATGTCTTTCCTAGAGTTGTACAGTAATTCCTTTAGTTGCATAACAAATTTTGGTTGTTTAAAGTTGAAATATTACATTTGTGATAATATCTGTTGTTTAATATCCTGTTCTTTCACAGTCATGCTGAGGATGATGATAAAGACCTTTGTTATTCCTTTTAACCTTTGATAAAAGAATAATTCTAAACATGTTTTCAAAGCTTACATGAATGTGACCCATGTGGCTTAACCTTCTTAAGGAAAAGTTTTTCATATACTACCACTGGTAGTGCATCAAGTTCCAAAGAAACTGCTACTCTTAATTAGGTTGTTATTCAAAGTTTTACTTTGATTTACTCTAAAATTAATATAAAAATTATCTTGCTTATATCGGTAGCTCTTGAAATGTGAAATAGCGCATTGTCTATGACTGCAGTTATTGTGCAGAAAAGTACATAAATGATTATGGAAAGTTACAGTGCTTTGTGTTCTTGCTTTATATAATTTAGGAAGAGATTGGAAATGTTCTTTATTTTTTACCACCAAATACCTGTAGTTATATTGTGACCTGTAAATATGCCTTTGGCCATATGCACACGTTTGGGTCATGACCACAGAAGGATTAGTATATGTGAGTTTCTGAATCATTGCATAAAAGAGAATAGTGTAATAATTTACCAAGGACAATACATGTTAAAATTGCTTGTACCACATATAAGCTGTACATTTGAAGTATTTGTGTTGATAATTAAATGACTTGCTGCTTTACCTGCACCGATGCTGTAAATCCGCAGTGATGCCTCTTTTTGTAGGTTTTGTTCATGTTGATAAATTTTCAGTCATTTTTCCAGACAAATATTATGTGATACACAGGGCATTATTTCACAGTTTAGAGGTTAAGATTATGATGCTGTCTGTTGGTGGTAATATGAAATATAAAGGCAAGGTTATTTGAAAAATCTGCCTTCAACAGTATGAACAGCAGTTTATGTCACAGGTAAGATTCAACTGTCCAATGAAGGGGTTTATACTTGTGGTCAGTGATTATCCCCTCAGGTGACACAGTATGCCTGAAGTATCATACTTTTTTCTGACAGAGCTGGCACTTTTCTATATTGAACTTTAGGCGGGGTTCTCAGAACCACTGGAACACTTTTTGCAGGTTGAGCAGGTGCTCTTGGAATGTGAGAATCATTATCACATCATCCAGGTACACGATACATGAGTTTTAGGTAAGGCCTCTTAAGACTGTCTTTATTAACCTCTCCAAAGTTTCCAGAGCATTACAGAAGCCAGAGGTCATGACTGTGAACTGTCAAGAATTCAGTCTTCTCTTTGTCATCCAGGTGTAGATCACTTGCCAATACCTACACTAGGTCAAGAGTGGAGACCATTTGGCTCCAGCCAGCATGTCCAGAATGTCATCAATTTGTGGCAGTGGGACATGGTTTATTTTTCTGTAGTCTACACAGAAGTGACGGTCTCTGTTCTTCTTCTGGAGAAGAATGACAGGGATTGACGAGGGGCTGCCTGACTCTTTGATAACCCCACAGCATTTCATGTCCTTCAACATCTCGCCCACATCTACCTGTTTTGCCAGGGGTCGTCTCCTTGGAGGTTGGCAAGTCAGTTGGGCCTCTCCTGTATCTATACGGTAGCACACTCTGTTGGTCTGTCTGTAATCATGAATGTCCATAGCAAAGATGTCTCTTTACTCGGTGAGGAGCTCTTCCAACTCTTGAATTTCTCCACGCTTAAGTTTGGCCTGGCAGCTGCAATAAAGTCTTGTAACTTCAGGGTAGAGTCTGGGACCTCTGGTGGGGTCACCAACATGACTGGCTCACAGTATGCCAGGGGGCATCCATTCACGAGCTTCTAGTTGTGATGGGTAACATTCAAGATCCTCATGGGTACTTTCCAGTGGTCTCGGACCAGGGCAGATGAGTCTGTATTTTCATTACCTGACTCAGAACTGTGTCTTTATGGGAGGGGGTTATGTGTGAGTGATGCTTTGTAAGGTTTCCAGTGAAAGTGTAATGTGACAGTGATCTATTGGCTTATGAATTTTTTAGCAGTACTTTAAATGCTTTGAAGGGCAGGAATGTAAATTTGTATTAGTTTGGAGGAATAATTTGGTGGATTAATGCAGTATAGTTTTGCAGGTTTAAATTCAGTCTTCTAAAGTACAAAAGGTTTTTCTTCCACAGTAACTTGAAATTATAATCTAACCTTTGAAACGTTCACTGGATATCAATCATGTTACACATAGTAATATTAAATTCAATAAATGTGAGAAGAAAATTACAATCTCTGATATTGTCTTTTAATTGTACAAAGGGTTTAATTTGGTCAAGACCACCTTGTTAATTTCAGACTCAGATTATAATGGATTGCTCTTTGTGTGAATGGTCTCATTTTTAGTCATGAGTTCTTTTTTCCATTAGGTAATCAGAATTTCTCTTCTTAGGGGCTGAGTAAATAATTAGAAACATGTACAAACAACAGGGGGGTACAGAAGTACAGCATTTTATTTTTCCCATTAGGAAGAAGAGAGTCAGGCGAAGAATCTTGGGCTCTGACGACGATTCTGATGTTATCGTCTCCAGCAGTGACCATAGCAGCAGTGGTGAAATTTTTGTAAAGAAACGGAAGAAGCCATTGAAGAAATCAAATTCTGACAAAAACAGCACCTCTGATAGTGATGCACCAAGGTAACAGAAACATTCTCTGCTTTTGCTACATTTTTTGTGATTTTGTACATATTGTTAAAATTCCATACAAATATGTCATTCAAATATATGAATTGAATATTAAGTGGAGGATATCAGATCACATTGGGGGAAGTGCATGAAATATGCCACTTTTGATTAAAGTCAATATCACGTTATTTTAGGACATAACATATCTTTATGTAATTAATTAATTTGATTAATATTGGTACTTTGAGAGGACAGTACCGAAGTGGAGGAATTTCCAGTCATCCAAAGTGCTACTACACAATGACTAACAATGTCTCAACAAACTGAAGCTAGTCTGTGTATTCATCATAGCAACATAAATATTTGTACAGAAGTTTAGTGTGTGGTTGTCTCTTCAAGCATTGACAATCCAACAGTTTCAACGTTATGGTATTATGTCTTTGCTTTTGCTCTTTGTGAGTTGAAACATATTAGGGTGCTGAGTAAATTAATATTATTTTATGTTGTAATCTTGTTTATTAAATTAGATTAAATCACTGATGAATAGTTCCATGGTTAATAACTACAGCTCTGAAATGTTTGCACAATTCTAGAGAAGTCAAACGGAAGAGAATTAGGGCTCCAGCCCGTGACTCCAGCAGCAGTGTTGATGACCAGGTTGAGTCTAGTCAAAAGGTAAGAAATTATTCTTCACCACAGTAGTTTTTATTTGTACACCTCTCCCCACTTCAGCTTGGAAAATAAGGCAAGCCAGTGGGTTGTAGAATGTAGTGTACAAGAAACCATCTGTTTTCCTCTAAATGTTTCAGTCAGGATAGAGATCCTGAGTTTCTCTACCTAGTAGCTGTCAGGTATAACCTCAAAATTATGCACTTCTGCAGTGCTTGTAATGTTGTACATGAAAACCTGTTTAATACAAAGTTAATGTCCATGGTTACAACATGATTCTATGCAAAATTTCCAAATGGAATGCTGAAGTGGTTTACTAATTACCACTGCTGGGCAGAAAGGCTAATGTAGATCTTCTGTTGCCACAGTGTTTTGTTCTATATTTCATGAAAAGAAAGCGACTGTAATAAACATTGTAGAGTGTTATAAAATGGAAGATACTAAAGAATATACAAGTTCTTTATGTAACAAGGTTCCTTCCTTGCCAGTAAATTCTCTTAAGAATAAATTGGGGCTGCTAATATAGTTCTGCCTGACAAGCAGATAATGCCACTGATATGACACTGCATAACTTTAAGCTGACTAATTGCCAGGGTACATTTAACATGCCACCAATCATAATAGAGTAGTCATAATGCAGTCTGGCATATCCATAACAAGAAAATTTGGTTGGAGGGGCTGCCTGGTCAGCCTGTTGTTATGAAGTTCCTAGGCTTAATAACAGCAAAAGCAGGACATTTTTGGGTGTTGAAAAACTGTATGTATGCATGATACAAGAAGTTTCAGTACTGTATATTAGTAACATTCTTTGTATGTGAAATTGTACAGGGAAATAATGAAAGCTATTTGATGTAGTTAATGTATTTTATCTTCCCTTTCCCAGTGTTCTCTTCTTTTGTTTTTGATTCCATCATTTTGCTTCTAATTCTGTTTTAATAATTGAAAGGTATTTTGTTTTCAGTCAGATGCTACTGGCAAGGGACGTAAGAAAATTCATCGCATAATGAAGGATGAGAATGTTGGTGAGGCAACACGAAGAGCTGCACGAGAGGAAGAGGAGAGGAAGAAAAGGATTTTAGAGAAACAAAAATTGGTGAGTTTAGGGTCTGGCATTCGCTGTGTTGATACTGAGGAAGGTTAATGGCTTCTGAGAGTAGTTGATCAGCATCAGTTGTGAAAAATCAACAGCAATAAATAAAGAGATCAGCGTGAAACAGGTAGCAAGGAAAGTCGATTGACTTTCAGTGGTCTACAGTGTTATATCCCAGAAGAGAGAAGTGTTTGTAACCACCACTGCAAGAATCTCAAATTCTACACAGTAATAAGTAACTTTAATGAAACAGTAAAATTAGTATTTAACATTCTTTTGAGTGAGGGTGGGCACTTCTTTTTCTTGAAGCTTAGGTGGGGCTGTTTCAAAGTGACTGCAAGCCAAAGAGCCTTGTGAGAAGGAAACCTGTGGTTAAGGTCATTAACTATGTATGAATTATTCTTGTGGATTATATATATTTTATAAGCCTTTGAGAAAATATGAAATTGACATCATTAGTTAATTTGAACGTGATATCCTAAACTCTGATTAGTGTTCTCAAAATGTTTGAATGTATATTAAACAACCTCAAGTGAGATTTTTGTATCCAGTTTTAGGGGTATTACAGGTGCCCTGAAAGCCACTGCAGGGTTTTAAGAGTCTGTATTTTTTAACCATTATGCCGATTGAAGAAACATTTCACTGAAATAAAATTCAACTCAAAAAGTTTCTGTTAGTAAATTCCTTTCTTGGCACAACAGGTATCTAGTTGATGCCTAATTTTAAAATCATTCCTGGAGTTACTGTTTTTCACAGTTGCAGTTCTCTACTATTTTAATTCATTTTGTTATATTTTAGCGTCCTGTTGCACTGATTTATGTCCATGGTTTATTCCAGCCGTCTTAGTGCATACACTCATCCACCTCACTCTTCACTCCTTGCAGGCCTGCAGTGAAGTAGTTTAATGTAAATCGAAAAGCACCTGAGGATGGCACCTTTGTGCCGAAACATGTAGTGCAGGAGTGAAGAGTGAGGTGGATGAGTGTATGCACTGCAAGACGGCTGGAATAAATTATGAATTCATTTCCATATGAATTCCTTTCTCTGCATGACGGTTATTAAGCCAATATATATCAGAACCAGTGTAAGAAATGTAACTTACTAACATGGTATTTTTTTTTCTTTGTATTTTACAGTATAATGAGATTTACAGAGAAGTGGAAGGAATAGAGAAATTTGACAAACTTGTTTTAGATTTTGATCCTGAGACAAAAGAAGAGCTGATTTCTGTGGATCCATATTTAGTTTCAAAGCTGAAACCTCATCAGGTAAACTTAAACATGTTTTTTTGTAACAAACACATTATTGTTATGACCTTTTCATCTTAATTTGGAGAATCAGAAAGTACTTTATGAAAAATATTCCATATTACTGCAATATATTCCTTTATTATATATAGAGTTAATTGTACTACATACATGAAATTACAGAATGGCTTATTTCTTTCTTTCTGCTCATAGTACTGCCTGTTGAAGGAGTAGATACCGTGAAGGGACAATATTCTTTCACATAAGTAAATCATGCCACAGTCTGATGTAATTGAAGGTTTCATGTACAGAGAAACTACTTACTACATAGTGTTAAAATACTTGCTGAAAATGGGATCCTTCCTTGTCCAGTCATATTTCACACCAGGGTAACATGTCCTGTTTTGCACTTTGAAGTTAGTTTTACCCACTGGTATTCACCCACAGTGATTTAAGGAATCCCTTTCTCCGTTTATATCTTAAGGCCTTCATAGAATGAACATATATTCTTCATGCTTCTCCACAGATGAAAGTCCAAAGGAGATGAGACTCTGTTGAGCTAGGTCAGGACTGTATTATGGTTAGTTAAGTTCTGAAAGTATAATTTCTGGAACTTCTTTCTGATGAGTGTCATTAAGTGTTTCTGTTCAATTCTCTGAAATTTGCTCATTGGCTTACTTTGGTGGATTTGTCACCACTGACAGTATAACTCAAAAAGGTGTCACCTTGCCTATGAATCTAATTCAGAAGGCAGTTAACACATGTCCAAATGGTTATGCCAGTGCTGTTTTGTGGGTTGGTTTGTAATCCCCCTTGCACAATGAAGTCTTGGTGCATTATTTGGTAGGTAGAACTGTGATTAGTCTGAAGTTGATTTGCCACAGCATAGGTATTCGCCCTGCTGTTGTTTAGAATTAGTGCATGGACTTCTTCATCGATGGCCACCATGATGCTCCTTATGAGTAAGACATTTGCAACCATGCTTGAACATGTCAGCCCATTTGTACATGCTTTGCTGCAGCAAAACATGGTCACTGTACTGTGCTAATAGCTTTTGATGAATTTCCATGCCTCTTACAGTTTTAGCCCCCCAAAAACAAATCACTGTATTCTGCTCTTCTTTGGTGCATGTATAAGTGGAATGGCCATATTGAGTCCACTCCTGGTAAAAGACACCTGAATGACCTTCAAATAAGTCACTAGTAGGGAGGTTCAATGCTTATGGTTGCCTGCTCATTCTGCACTGGGGCCAGTTGCAGAAACTCTTTATGAATACTCTTTTATTTATGGTTAATTCACTCTACATTCTCTTATGGCAAAATATTTAGTAATAGAAGAAATACAAATGATAGCATGCAATAGGAATGGCTTAATAAATATTAAGAAGAAATGTCCATGATTTATTCTGACTGTCTTACAGTGCATACATGTATTCACCTTACTCTTCTCTCTTGCACTACATGTTTCGGCACTAAGGTTCCATCTTCAGGTGCTTTTCGATGTACGTCGAACTACGTCATTGCATGTCCTGTTGTCTTTATACTAAAATAACTAAAATACGAGTATATATTCGTCATATATATTGATAAATTTTAAATGTCAAAAATATTAAAACTGTTCAGGATTTGTCATCCTTATGTCGTATCTCAATACGCGAGTCACACCTATCTTCTTCTATCGGAGTATTCTTCCTACTTTCATGTGTGTGTTGTGCTTTGTGTTGTGTCTTGCTCCTGTGACTGCATGTGTTATACTGCACATACCCAGCAGGCCCAGCAGTACAGTCACAGGAGCAAGACACAACACAAAGCACAATACACACATGAAAGTAGGAAGAATACTCCGATANCATAAATCAGTGCAACAGGACGCTAAAATATAACATTATTAAGAAGAAAGTTTAAACTGCTCTATTTTCATAACTTTTATCATTTCCATGGTATGCTAAACTTCATGTTTGATGGCAAAAGCAAAAGCTGCAGTGTATCATTCATAAGTGGTCCATCTAATATAAGCGACTTCAATAAAGAATTTATAAAAATGTGACTACAACAGCATGTTAATTTTATCCAGTCTCACATAGTTTCATGTAATGCTCATTTTTAAAATCCAAAACTTAAAATGTAAAACATTGCAGCTGATACACTTTTTCTTTCATAAATTACAGATCTCTGATGTTGATGTGTATCCGTTATAGTTGATGTTAGTAATATGAATAATGGTTCCATTATGGGCAACCCTCTAGCCCTATCCCAATCACAGTTTGGTTAACTTAGAATTAGTACATTAAAAATGTAATATAATTTGTGTTAACATTATGGGTATCATATTGTCGGAAATGTACAAGGGAGAGTCAGTAGATAGGTCATAAATGGGCATAAAACATAAAACATGTGATATTTGAACCTGAGAAAACCTTTTATTTCTCAATACAGTCAACTCTCGATTATCCGGGCTAATGGTGGGGATGGAAGTCACGGTTAATCGAAAACCCGGTTAAGCCAAATTTTATTATACGGGCTGGACGACTGTGAAGGGTCGGAGTTCGAGTCCCGGTAGGGTCAAGAATTTTAACTTCTCCAAATCGTCCAGACCGGCTCTGGGGTCCATCCAACCTCCTATCCAATGGGTACCGGGGGCTCTTTCCCCGGGGGTAAAGCGGCCGGGGCGTGAAGCTGACCACTCACCTCCAACTAGTGCCGAGGTCAAGAAAATTTGGATCTATACATCCACTCCCCCACACGCCTTAATGGCGTAGGGCTTAATTCGTTGAGCAGAGGAACAACTTTACCTTTTACCTTTTAATACCTTCATAATACTATAGACCTACCTGTATTTAAATTTATTCATCCTCATTTCTATGTCATCTCATGGCCTATTTAATACTTTCTTTACATTACACTCAGTATGAATTAGTTATTTCAATCACTGTTCAACAACATCCAGCACTTTTTACGGTCACACTTAACACTTAAAATAATTTAATACTGTCTTTTGCTTTTTCGCGGCATTTTCCTTTTTACGGATATCCGTACGAAGCCTACGTAATATTAGCTTGTCACTTAATAAACTGTCCTCTTCACTCTCAAGATAGTCTAGTAAGGATTCCAAATGATTAAGCGCAGCACCATGTGATACTTTCTTACTGGCAACACTGTCCACCTCTTCCTCATTCTCACTTTCTTCCCGCTCTTCTGGCTGCACCCCCATTGAAGTTACGATTTCGTCACTGCTTAACATTTCGAAGCCCGGTTCACACGAGTCACAGTTAAACCACTCTCTTATATTTTCCTCGTTGACTTCTTCACCACCATGAACTTGGTTAGCCACTTTTGTCAATTTTATGGCTATCTCATTTTCACTGAATCCAGTGAATCCATGGATTTCGTCATCTTCATTAGTGATGAAAGGCATCAGTTTCTTCCATGAATTTTTCAATACAGATGGCTTTACTGTATCCCACGCTGTTGAAATCTCGTATATGGCATCTAATACTGAAAAGGACTTCCAGAAACACGTCAGATCATTGCCTTCATCGATGTACTTTTGTAGCAAATTTGATCTGTAGATTCTCTTCATACTTGAGATAACTCCTTGATCCATTGGTTGGATAAGTGCGGTAACATTAGCGGGAAAATATTTCACAAAAATATTTCCATCATCTGACCTCAGGAGACTTTCGTTAGGATGTGAGGGCGCATTGTCAATGAGGAGCACAGCTTTCTCAGGTAGGCCTTGGGATTTTAGATGGTCACGAACTTGAGGCACGAATTTAAAATCAAACCATTCTTTAAATATCGCTCTATTCATCCAAGCTACTTTCTGGTTAAAATAATGGATAGGCAGACTTGAAGCTACTGTTCCTTTAAAAGAGCGTGGTCTTTTCGCTTTGCCGATAACTACTGGTATTAGTTTGTGTGTTCCTGATGCATTAGAACAGCACAAGACTGTCAATCTCTCCTTACTGGATTTGTGACCTGGAGCCTGTCTTTCATTTTGAAATGCCAATGTTCTGGTTGGCAAGCATTTCCAATAAAGACCCGTTTCATCGGCATTATAGATTTGTTCTGGCAGCAGATTTTCACTTTTCACAAAACTATCAAAATTGGTGCAAAATTGATCTGATGCTGACAAGTCCCCTGACAATTTCTCACCTTGAATACTGATTTCTCGTATTCCATGACGCTGCTTGAAACGTGTTAGCCAACCGGAAGAAGCGTCAAAACTCCCTTCTAGTTCAAGTGCTTCGAAAAAATATTTAGCTTGTTTAGCACAAACTGGTCCTGTTATTGTTGTTCCCTGTGCCCTTAGTTGATTAAACCAGGTCAGCATCGCTTTGTCGAGATCATCGTATGTTGATTTCTTCATGGTTTTTCTCTTCTTCATTCCGCTTGAATTAGAAGACGAAGCAAAGGAAATTAACTCATTCTTTTGTTTTTTCAAATCACGAACAGTTTGTTCTCCAATACCGTATTGCATTGCTAATTGTTTAACTACAGCTCCTTTTTCCAGCTGATTGATAATTTCAAGTTTCTGTTGAATACTTAACACAACACGCTTCCTTTTAAACCCCGACATTTTGCTAACGCACTTGAAGATCTATATTAAGAAACTGATACTTACTTTCACAATGCACTCTCACACTGAGATGGTACCGTTAAATAACCTGGGGCGGTGTATTTGTCCTTGAAACTTTCCAAAAATTCTTGCATTCTTTCACCCCCACCCTAGAACATTGTGTTCGCATAACGGGACGAAATAATGCAGAGCTCGGTTCACACTAGTGCGAAAATAGTGTTAAACTCACCATGTGAAACAAAAGTGAATGAATATTAAACAACATATAAACTTAAAAAAAAAAGCCCCGGTTAAGCCGCAAACCGGTTAATCCGCCCCCGGATAATCGAGAGTTGACTGTAGAACCAGCACCATCATTGATACACCTATCCCATTGCTTTACCAGTGTATGAAAACCCAGAGCATGGAAGTCTTTTGACTGTTGTCTCAGCCTCTGCCACACCTCCATTTCAGCCTCTTCATCCGTAAGAGAATTGCTTGACTCAGTTGTGCACCACCTTACATGACAAACACTTCCTGCCATAAACAGGATACATTTCTTTATGAATGCCCTTTGTTTTGAGTCCTCTTGCCCACAAAAAGCATGCAACAGAATGCTGCTCTTTTGTAGCACACCCTCAAGCACAGTTGCCATTTGGACCACTGAAAGCAGCCTCTGAACATGCGCATGCATATCTGCTAGCTTGACTTTCATGATGCTGGACTTTGCTGCTAATGAGTGATGCACCCAGGAAACCTGTTACATCCATTACAGCAATTTTACTTGAATTTGTGACCTATTTAATGACTCTCCCTCATATTTTTAGCCTAATGCTGATGCAGCAGCTTGAAACATATAGCCTTAAAATGCCTCTGTTAATAATAAAAACATTGTTGTGATAATAGTATATTAGTCATTTAATTTGGTTCTTTGCTACACAATAGAGGCACTTAAGTTTATGATTGTAGTGACTTTCTTGACCAGATGAAAAATTTTGGCTTCTGAAGAAAGTCTGTATGTCATAGAGCTAGTCATTCTTTTAATTTCAGGTGAAAGGTGTAAAATTTATGTGGGATGCTTGCTTTGAGTCACTGAAACAAATTGAGAAGACAAAGGGTTCTGGCTGCATTCTTGCTCATTGCATGGGACTTGGAAAAACATTCCAGGTAAGAAAGTTTGTAGCATTACTTAGTGATAATTTGGTGTATTCTGTCAGGTTTACAAGAAATGTGCAGCCTCATCACACAAGCTGTTATGCTGTGTTTTGTTACATCTCCTGTTCTGGCTCAAAATCTGTACCAGAAGACATGTGACAGAAAGACTGGCAGAACAGAGTTCAGAGTTTGCTGTATCTCTTAAGCAGCTGCATATCTTTATACTGGTGTGTTAAAATTATTTCAGTTTTCTTGCCTCTTGTATTGAGTAAAGGACATATTTAATTGAAAATGTATGTCAGTGACACTGGCATCAAATATCTCTGTGCCACTTTGTTTGCATCATTTTATTTTCTTGTTTCATTGATCAGGAAATGTGAATAGTGTGAATAGGGTACAAAGTAGCTTACTATTGGGTACTGTGTTGCACTGAAGGTGTGTGTCATTTCTGGAAAGGAATGATTGTGTATGCACATTTGTTATAGATATTATTCATTGAGTATGAAAGTGCTGTTGATTAATTCCAGATAGTGACCCTTGTCCATACATTGTTGAAGCACAAGGACACCAAAATGCATACAGTTCTCGTTGTCTGTCCACTTAGCACAGTCCTCAACTGGGTCAGTGAGTTCAATATGTGGCTGAAAGACATTGGCGATGGAGAGGATGTTAATGTCTTCGAGCTGTCCAAGTAAGGTTTCATCTTCATTCCATATATGCATTCTTAAACATTTGAATGAATCTTGCAGTTTAAAATAATTCTGTGTGAAAAATGTATAGTTTTTTTTAGCACAGTTTTATATTTAATAGCTTTCCTTTGATCTGAGTGGATTCTTGTGTACCATTTTAATTAACATTTCAGGTTTTCATTTAATGTGTTGAGTATTTATTAGGACTTCTTGGATGGAGGCATATATTTCGTGTAACTGTGTACAAACTCTAGTCCAGGGTATGTATGTATGTATTATGAGAGGGGGGTGGGTTTCCCCATGCACTTAGACCAGTTATTGGTCCATTGTGCGTCCCCCTTTTAATTTCTACTGTTGCCATACCCTACCGGTAACGGTGCATGCCATCAGCCCCCATAGAGCCAATGAGGTCGGCCCCCGGTACCTTGATGCTTCCCCCATCCACCAGAGGCATTGGAGACTACTTGGGCGGGAAAGGGCCTGTAATTTAGCTCAGAGGCCTCCTAGAGACAGGTTCTTTTACGTGCCGTAAATCTACACCACGGGACACACAGCTTAAAGTCCCTCCTGGAGGACTTGTTCCCTGAATTTTTCCGCCCTTAAAAATTCCATGACCTCCACTGGGTTTGAACCCGCGTACCTTGAGTCATGAGGTGGGAACATTACCCCTAGACTACGGAGGCCGCTCTAGTCCAAGGTATGTATTGATGGATGAATTAGCTATTACAAAGTGGTAGTGATAAGAGTAATCATTCAAATCCTCCACTCTAAACTCCTTCTTTTCTTCAAAAGTATCTTTAGCATATGTTACTTTGTAACCACAGCTATAATCGTACTGTTGCTGGAACTACTTCAAATTACTGTAGTTTATTACTGAAGCTTTTGCAAACTCATGTTTATATAATTTATTTTCATTGTTTCAGGCCATTGTACTCACCCTCAGATGGTTTGTACTTATTTCTTTGTTCCCTGCATATTATTTTTGTAACTTGCTTGATCTTATCATGACAGTCAAATGAAGGAGGTTGTGGTGGACCAGATAGGTAGAAATTCATGCAGAATTTCAGTAGCAAAATCACACAGGAGTGGCAAGATCGAAGTCTGTAAAGGAGAAAAGAGGATAATGTTGAAATGGACCTAATAAAGTAGGTTGTGACAATGTTAGTTGGATTGACATAGTTTGGAATTGTGTCCAGTATTGAGCTTTGATAATACAAACCTAGAGTTTGTCTCATGAGAAGGTTAATTAATTTGGTGTTGTAACACTTCTGTTGCTATATTGTCATGGTTATTATTGTTGTCATTGTTACTATAGTTATTGTTATTGCATTTTTCATATTATTATTATTATTATTGAATGCATTTCTTTATTGTTCCAATGAAAATATGTCATACTGTTCAGATATAAGCAGAACTATGAGCGTATGTACCAGCTGAAGGAGTGGCATAGTTGTGGAGGTGTCATGGTTTTGGGTTATGACATGTTCCGAAACTTAACAAACACACAGGCCAAGCGGATACGGAAGAATGCTCTTGAAACATTCCAGTCAACATTAGTTGATCCAGGTGAGATTGTTTTTGTATGTGATCATTGCATGTTTCAAATAAATGTTCGCTTTATTCTCTGCTTACGCTTAAACACATTGTGGGTGGGCAGGCACTCATGTTCAAATGTGCACATGCATGTAAGCGAGTACAAAAGCACCACTGGTTTCACCAGTTTTGTAGAACCTGTTGTTGCAAGGTATGGCAGATGGCAGCTGTTGAAATTTTAAAACCTTAAAGGCAAAATAAAATTGAACAATGATATTATTCAATAGATAAATTATTGAGACACATTGTGAATATGTTCTTTCCTGTCAGTTATCCTCTAATGCAGCAACAGATGTAAAGAATGGCCGTGTAGGGTCAGTATTTTCTCAGGAACTAACTTTTTTTTTATGGGTAAGTCTTATTATTATAAATTTTTGTTGCATAATTGAAACAGGATCGGATGTGCTTTATTACGTGCCTCAGGTGCTGTCACAATGAACCCATTATCGATACTTGATTATAAATCTACCTTTTAAAAAATAACAGTCCTCATGCCCGCTCATTATTTTGAATTCTAATTTTAGGAAAAATTTGCGCATAGTACAAGAGTGCATATAGTGTTCTAAGTCGAATATGAGTTTGATGGATGTGATGTGTATCTTAACTTTATCCTTTTCAGGCCCTGACCTTGTTGTGTGTGATGAAGGTCATATGTTGAAAAATGAAGATACAGCATTAGCCAAAGCCATGAGAAGGATAAGGACATTGCGCCGAATTGTGTTGACTGGTACACCACTGCAAAACAACCTGAAAGAATGTAAGTTCATTGAATGTGTTCAGACAGTTCAGATAAACCATCTGTACTCTTCAGGATATGATGTTCTTATAGCAGTGACTATGAAGTTTACTGCTTTCAAGGATATGGCACTCTGCAGTCTTGTAGGCTGTTCCCACCTTGCTGCCTCCTTCTTCAGTGCAGAAGACTCTTCTGTTCTGAATATGAAGGCAGCAGGTTCCTCTGAAATGTTGGTAATAATCTACCAGACTACACAGTCTTACCTACCAGTGTGAATAGCTGGTATAGTATGTCACTGTACATGTTTTTTTCTCCAGTACCTGACAAATGCATGAAGTCTGATCAGTTGTTGATCTGTTACATTGAAACCCACATTAATTATCCCCAATAATTTTGTTCATGTATGGACTTAATTTTTAGAGAAAGTTATTGGATTAAATTTTGAAGTTGATAACAGTGTTACGTCTCAATAATTACTCCAGTTAGTTTTATCGCCCTTCTAAACTGATACGATATTATTATATACTCCTCCACTGATGAAGCCGATCTTCCTTATTCCAAATAGAATTAATGAGAGTATGGATATCAGATTCTTGTGATAATAGTGAATGAAAATGTATTTTGTGTACATAATATATTTCATGTGGTGTCTTGAAGGCAGTACCTTGTGATGGTGTATGTGTATAACTGGGACAACTGTGGTGTGGTTAGAGGTTTCTGTGGCTGTCACTAGTTGGGGTTGCTGTCATCTGAGATGTAATAATGACATTGTGAATTGGGTTGTGTGAAATCATAACACATACCAGAAGACACTGAAAGGTCTTGTTAACAACTTGTTAATGTTATTGATGAGGAAGATGAGGAAATTCCACCTTCTCACATGAAATCAGAAGGAGTTCCAAAACAGTAACATGAGGCAAATAGGTGGTTACACTTTTAAATTCTTCTGCCTGTTTTCGGTAATGAAAGCTTTTGAAATTATTTGAGGTGAAAGAACAGGTACATAAAACAGCAAGAAAACAAACAGAAGAAAATAAATGGACCATTGAATCCAAAATCAGTGTTTATTGAGTGGAAGGATGTGACTGTAGAAAGAAGTGAACTCTTTGGTAGCAGCTGTACATGTGTATGGGGCACAAACCACACCTTTGGGACTACTGAGGAAAAGATCCAGTTGTGCAAACTAGTTACTGGAAGACAAGCAACATGTCACGTGATGATTCATGGCCATCATTAATATTATACAACCTTCAGCACAACAAATTCATATTAAATAAATATCTCTTTTTCAGTGTTCATGCCATCAGAGAGCACTGCAAGCCGGAGGATAGAAGATAAAGAATAACATAAGTTTCAGAGCTATTTATTGAATCTAAAAGTTCACCTGTTCATGATTCCTTCTATCAGAAAGGAATTCTGCTTCTTTTTTAAGCCAAATTCTTGATGTTCTCTCCTTCTATGTGTTTTGATATAACACTGAACTTGGGCTGTCTTTGTTTTTTATAAGCTGAAGGAATTGTGTGGGGTACCATTCAGCTCTTATGAAAATAGCAATTTTAAGAGCAAGACTTGTGGTATTAATTGCAGTTTTGTTTCACCAGATCATTGCATGGTTCAATTTGTGAAGCCAAACTTGCTTGGTACTCGGAAGGAATTTCTGAATCGATTTGTGAACCCAATTTCAAATGGGCAGTTTGAAGATTCAACAGCTCATGATGTGAAGATAATGAAACGTAGGGCTCATGTTCTGCACAAGATGTTGGAAGGATCAGTTCAGGTAGATTTATTTATTTCATAGAAGTATAGTATACATTATAGTAATTTTATTTATGTTTCAGAATTTTGTATCATATTCATTATGCCAATGAAAAAAAGATTGTGTTTATTTGAAACTCTTTTGTCTTGGGATTGGAATGACAAAAATGAGGGATTATGCAGTTTTAGTTAGTTTAGTGTCAATAAAAACAAATGTTGATACGATAGTGTCTACTTTGTTTTAAATACAGAATATTGTTGTGTAGACTGCATACCTTTGTATACATTTTATATACCTAGTTTTAGTTTTGTAGCCTTTCTTTCTAATTAGTCAGAATTTTCGTTAAGCACATGTCAATGAATGTTGCACTGGTTTATGGTCATAGCTGTAAGTTACAGCAGTAAAAGTAAACTTCAGAATTTGTATTAATGTTGCTAAGCAAAAAAAAAAGTTAAGGTTTCCCTGTAACAGACCATGGAGGCCCATGGGTTGTGGGATCTTGAGGTTCCCACATTTTCTAGACAATCAGCTCACAGATGGTGGTAAGCTTGTCAGCCATACATGCCAGCCACCCTTTACCTGCAGGAATATTCCTGGTACTCTTTTCTGTTAGAGGCTGACTCGACCCTAGGGCCACAGTGCAGCTGGAAGGATTGGGTAAATTAAAAAAATTCACCTCATCAGGATTCGTTCCCATGACCTTCCAACTTGTAGCATAGTGCCTCAACCAACTATGCAACCGCGCGCCCCCAATGTTGCTAAGTAGATTGCTTTTATAGAGTATAAATTGTCTCTTCTCATCATAAATGATGTATATAAAGTTCTGTTTGAAAGCAGGCTGTAGTGCATAAGTCAGAAATTCAAAATAAAGCCTACTAGTGTGCCCATGAAGAAAACTCACCACTGAAATTTCAGAAATTTTTTTGTTGTTCAGTATGTCAATTAATATATAAGTCTCTAGGTTTTTGGACACACATAATTTTTATGTCTTTCAGAACACAGTTCTGGTCAGGCTGTATGAAGGAAATGTCTTTGGAATTTCATATTGCAGCACTGTTAAGCTACTTGAACAAAGTGACATTACCTAAGAATGAATAAAAATGAAATTACACCATTCCATAATCTGGTGGCAACTTATTTCACCAGTTCTTTCACACCTTCTGCAGGAATTGAACATATGTCCCACGTTCCATAAAGATTGTAATATTATTGTATTTTTAGTTAAGCTGAAGTGCTGTGTGAATTCTCGTTTCATGACTCATTATTACAAAAACCAATAAAAATATACCAGGATAGAGTAACCTCCACTTCTTCCAATGAAAATATTTGTAATATGAGAAAGATCTTAATGTGTCAGTCATATTTAATCATTTGAGCGCTCTTTGGCTTTTATTGAAACAGAAAAATATGAGTTCTTCCAAAGTTAGGAGCACCATTAGGAATATTTGAGGTTTTCATGGCCGTGACTATGAAAAATGCCATCTTCTGGGATGTGGCACCGTGTAGATATTGTGTTAACTGACTTTTTGGACGTTGCATATGTATGGATTTCTCTAGTCTCAAAGTTCCTTCTTTCTCACCAGTGGTATAAACTGTACCACATCAGGACAAGTGAGAACTCTTCTCTTGAGTAATATATATTGTTTCCTTTGTGATGGGAGCAAAATTTTGAGAGAGTTGTACATTCTTCTGTTGCAGAGGTTTGACTATTCTGTGTTGACTCCATTTCTCCCACCAAAACATGAGTATGTAATCTCAATCCGCTTGTCTGAAGTTCAAATTAAGGCATATCGATATTACTTGGAACACTATGCTGTGGGTATAAGTGGGGAGAAGACCAAGGGAGCACAACTTTTTAATGACTTCCAAAACCTTTCAAGGATATGGACACATCCTAGGGTATTGCAGATGAATGCTGACAAGGCTGAAAAGACTGCTGAGAGAAAGGTACAACTAATGAATTAAAGAAATTATACTCCACAGTTGAAGAATTACAGAATAGAAAGAAATATAATTTGTTTGAAAGTGTCTATCTTTCCATAATTCTTAACTGTATATAAAATTGGGCATGACTGTTGTGGCATAAAATGGGGTACATAGAATGCTGAATTTATTGCCACATTGATATTTTATATGTACAGTAGTAACAAGAATAATTTTCTTAGCCCTTTTAACTTGAGATTGTTGTTTATCCAATATGCATTTTAGCACAGTATAGAGTGAATGGTATTTTGCTGATGAAAATCTTTCAGAACATTCAAAGGGGAAAGTATGCTTTTTATTTACTATGACTGGGGAAATTATTTATGTGTAGTATTCATTCTATATGGTTCAGATTTGGAGGAATTAACCTTTATGGGATGGGCCATTTAAATTCCGATGGTGGCAGCGGGACGGAATTAATTTAAATGCCCGCCATTGTAGAGTAATAAAAATTGTAATCATGTTACTCAAAATGCTGTGATTTCTACAATTTTTGTGATAAACGAACGAAATAAACTCTGCTTTTATCTAGAAAGAATATAGAATCAGATATTGTAATTTACAGATTTTAGAATCTGTAAAAATTGTTACACTGATTCCAAAAAAAAAATTTTCCCAGTTTTGAGCGTCTGTCCACAAAACTGCAGTCAGTTTCTGCAGTATAAATGCCTGTTGCTGACATCATTCGTACTGGTACTGGCTTATCTTCAAAAGGGGAGGAAATGTTTATGCTTTTATAGCACTCCAACCTTTCTGTATACAGGAGTGAGGTCACGTCCCTCAGAGACTGTCTGTGTATACAGGTATCTGCCACACAAGAAGTACTGTTATGCTTCTTAGAAAGGCCCACACATGGCCCCTTCTTCTACGTACTTTCAGTCTTATGTACCACATTCTAAATCGGTGACATTTATCAGCTGCCTATTAACTTTGGCTTTTTCAATGCGAAAGGGGGCCATGGTGCATAGTTGAAATTGCGATGTTTTATAAGCGTTACGAATACAGGAGACCACTCGCCATCACTGACCTACTTCCTGCTAATACTGACATTGCGTGAGTGTGCTTCACGTGGAAAACAGAGTTAATTACGGACAAAGAGCATGAATTGCGACGTCGGACTCTGCATTCAGTGACATGCAACATTCAGTTAGATGATGCAGGAGGGAAGACAGTCTACTTATAAAGCTGATGTCCAAAAATAATATAAGTAGAACAAGAATTTCTATCTTAAAATTAGATTTTAAAACACTGTGCGCACGCGTGGACTGCGCATACCCATACGGTGTCTTTCGTCCACCTCGGCTTTACTTTAAAGGTCTCCATACGGTGTCCTTTGGCTCATAAAGGTTAAGGCGGAAAATAAACGCCGAAATATCCACAAAAGTGTTCAAAATCTACTTCAAAGTATATCACACTGAAATTTTTTTGGTCACCTATTAAGTGGTGCAGATATTTTGTTATTTGAAAGTTTAAATAATGGACTTTGTAATAATAACATTTTTTCCTCTGTATGTATCACTGTTTGGCAGCATATGGAGTCAGATTCAGAGGGTTCCCTACGAGATTTTATTGATGATGACGATGACGACAATGATGAAACAACTAAATCATCAGGCAGTTCATCCTCAGATGAATCAGATGTACAAGGAATGACAAGAGGAGCAGGAAGCAAAAGTAAACCCACCAATAGAATTACCCGAAGGACTCGTAGCCAAGCTAACATTGAAGGTGAGTGGAGCCTTTGTATCTTAATCACTTCACTCTCTTATGCATGGAGAATCTACTGTGTATCCATTTCCAGTGTTTATCATGGTAATGCATGTCCTGTCCGCTTGGGTACTGTTTGACATGAGTGCCAAGAGAGATGACAGCAGCCAGATCGCCCAGGGCTGGATAGGTGACAGACCATGCCCAGTGACACTGGAGTGCCCATGACTACTGCTAGGCCAGGCATCACTGCAGGATGGCCCAAAAGGAATCACAGCCAATGCTATGTGCTGAAAACAGCATCAAGGGAGACCCTCCCCATCCTGAAGGAACCCTTGGTGGAACTGACCCCGGGGCAAGAACCGCATGTTCATCTGAGTGCTCATAGCAGAAATTGTAAACAAGTTTATGTCCTGTACATCTAATGCATTTGTGGAGCTAGGGCACTACATGCTGTGACTGGGTTAGGAAGAAGTATCTCTATGGAGCCCCCATGTGTGGCTCTTGGCTTCCTGCCTTGTGGTTGCATGATGCAAGGGAGTAGCAATAGCAAGACTGGAAAGCTTCATCAGAGTGGAAAATGACATCATAACATTTGCATGCACAACTGTTTGAGAAAAACTGTGCCCCCCCACCCATGGTTCTGGAGGCTGAAGAGACAGATTTCATTTCATTTCATTTTTATTTGGCACTCATAATTGCTACAACAGTAACACTCGAACAAGTCACATCATTAAATATGTCATTCTTGAAACCATTTTGCCCAAATGCCTAAAGGATTAGAATTTGTCAACAATATACAATCACAGCTGACATTGTTAACCTATAATTAAAATATAATGCACACCATCAACCCAGATAAACAGTAAAATTAGATACAATATGTAAATTGAAATGCAAGCCAACCTTACGAGTTCACCAAGAGAATCTCAAGTGTATTACAGTAAATCAAAGAGTCCTACATATGACCAGGTCAATCACTGGACACATTACGATACTGCAAGCAACCATTTGTTATCCATTTCCACTGCTGAACAGATGTTCTGCTATGCTTACTACTGCCCCTCTAAGAGAAACTCATACTATGCATAGAATGGATGATCTAGTAAAACACTTTTAGCCCATGTTTAAAGTCTTTACATCCATCTGACTTTCTTAATTCCAAAGGCAGTCTGTTGTACACTTTAATACCCATATTGATAACACTCTTCTTAAAAGCCAAGGTCCTTCAAGAATGGTTGGTAATGACATTCCTAGACTGAAAGTGTGTGTAAATAGTGAGTTCAGCTTGAGTCTGTGTTTAGAAATGGAATGCAGCATTTATGTATGTTAAAACAGTGCAATGAAAAGCAAGCAGTGAGTCTCAAGGTGGTAGTGCGAAGACAGTGTAATAGTGTTCAGTGAAGAGGTAGTGAACTAAAACAAACTGACACTGAGGCCATAAGTGACACCATGAAAATAACTGCCACAAATCAAGGTAGACATTCCAGTATTTATGTATGAGATGTCAAATATACTGAGACAAAATATTGCAAATTACAGACCAATCTCAATTTTGTCTTCTTTCCCCCCCCCCCCCC